TACGCTTGTTAATGCTGCAGAAAATCCTTTAGGACAATGGAGAGAATAAGAGTTTATCCTATAGTCCCTCAACTAAAATGAGTCCTGTTTTTAATTACCTATTTCCTTCTGGTCTTTGTCTGGTGATATAAATATTTGCTGCCAGCAATAATCATAGCACAGATCGTATTTTTGTTATGTTCTTTCATATCATTTAGTAAAATGTTTCCCCATGTTCCTACATGGTTTTTTAATTGCTTTTAGTGACTACATTATGTAGTACCATTATGCTTTATTCCCTATTGTTGAATATTTAAGTAGTTTTAAATACTTTGTTGTTACAAAAGTACCTCAGTATACATATTTGTGCACATGGCTTTCTCCTTTTTTTTTTTGAAATTTTCTTTAGATAACTAATGAGATTATTGGGTTGAAGAGTGTGAATATTTTTATTTTGATACATAAAGCCATTTTCATTATGAAAGTAGTAATATCCATGCACATGGCTGCCAGCCATACATGAACAGGGCTGCTTCAGACTTGGTGGGAATGGGGGCTGTAGCTTAAATACTTAGACAATTCAATCATAGCGGTTCAGTAATGACGGTTATGAGCCCGGTTTTAGCTCCTATGACCTTGTGTGGTGTTGAGTGAACCACACCGCTGTGAGATGCTGCTGAGGTGAGCTGCCATCTGTACCCCATGCATCTCTGCTGGCACTCAGTGGTTAGGGTACCGTTCCGGCAGAGGATGCCCCCCACCCCGCTGTCAGTTCAGTTCCCAGCATCATGTCAGGCTGCTCACCACTGCCTGGAAGTCTAACTCCAGGAGATCTGACACCTTCTGGTCTCACCTGTGTGTATCCGACACAGACACACTTGAACATGATTAAATAAAATCCTTTTTAAAGAATGCACAGATACTTCCAGAGACATAGCCGAATTGAAATATTTAATTTTGAATATAGGGGTGAAAAGAATTCCACAAATACAAATTTCATATGTATTGCCTACAGAGGAGCCCCCACAAAAATAGCAAGGCTATAGTGTGTATGTGCCAGGCACAGTGCTAAGCACTTGGCTCATACTTCAGTAAATTCACACTGCTTTGTTCCCATATACCTGTGTTATATGTATTAGCAGTGATTAAAATATGGTGTGTAAGAGAGCTGTCAACCTTGTTCTCATGAGGCTTACTAGTAAAGTAGTGTAGGATATTAAGGAGATAGAAAATAAAGTAGTGTACAACAGATTTACTCTAAGGACTCATGAGAACATTTAAGTTTCAATTTGAAGCTCATTTAGAGACACTAAAATATTAGCTGTACTTTATTTTGGCATGCATGTGGGTGCATTTTCATGATTTGTTAGTAGTTTTGAGTTTCATTTTATTTGCCCCCTTTGTTATAAGTATTTTATTATTTTTAAATTAATACGCTTTTTTTTTTTTTTTGGATTTTTGAGACAGGGTTTCTCCGTAGCTTTTTTGGTTTCTGTCCTGGAACTAGCTCTTGTAGACCAGGCTGGCCTCGAACTCACAGAGATCCGCCTGCCTCTGCCTCCCGAGTGCTGGGATTAAAGGCGTGCGCCACCACCGCTCGGCCTTTGTTCCCATTTTATAGAGAGATAAACTAAGGCCAGAGAGGTCAAGCAACTTACATAAGATTAACTCCATAAGTAAGTTGGAATTCAATACCAGGCAGTCTAGTTCCAAATCTAGCATAGTCTCTATTCTGGGCCTTCCAGTGGGCAGAGGTGAGAAAGAAATGGGCAGGCAGGGGCTATCCTGGACGGTGGTGGGCCAGTGGTGGGGGTGGGCATGCCTACCCTGACTGTAGACGTGTGAGACACTGGAAACTCTGCTTCCGCTCTCTATTTTAACACGCACGGGGAAGTTCATGAGGAAATGTGAGAAACCACACCAACCCCGTCACTTCAGGAATTGTTACCAAAGACTTTTTGAAGCTGGCTGTTGCTCTTTCATTTTTGTTCCCAGATGCTATATCCCTGCAGAGGCTCTTTATGCTTTGAGCCCAATGAAAACGTTTTCCTCCCGTGTCCCCCATCACTGTCTACCATTTTAAAAAAAAAATGGTCATGAACAACTTGTAGCTTAATAGTTTCATTTGGACCAATGGTTCAGAAGTCATATTTAATATATTATTTGTGGATTTAGTCGGTTCGATTTTAGGGTACTCAGATGTTGAATAATGAATTGCATAATTTCAGGAGCCAAGGTAGGGTGGGCATTTGACTCAGTCTGTTAGCAGGCAGGATGCTTTCGTTAGTGAGCCTCTATGGGTTTGAAGTTTTATGTATTCCAGCAGTCTAATCCTGGTCAGACCCAGTAACTGAGGAAATCCAGGGAGGTCTTTTGCCTGCTCCTCCCTCCCTGCTTCCAGGCTGCACACACCTATCAGCGTAGACCTCCATCTTTCTCTAGAAGCATCGGCAATTGAGGCCATGAAATTATAACCCCAAGAAGACAAGGAGGACTCACTGGGCATTGCTGGTTCACCCCAGCAGTGCCTTGTCCGTCGGTCACTTTTAGCTGTGATCTGAGCAGCTGCAGGTGACTTGGTTATCCTGAGAACACGGCCTTTGGCGAGCTTCAGTTTAGCAAGAATTTTCTGTTCCAGGATTTCACTTTGAGTTTTCAGCTTAGCTGAGTCCGTGGCATCTTTAGGGTCCCTGTGGAATAAGGAGCTGTGACTCTCAGACATTGAAGAGGTCTCCACCGTGAGTGTAATGGCTAATATTGTTAATTTGATGGGATCTAGAGTCACTTGGAGACAAGCCTCTGGGCTTACCAGTGAGGGGTTAGCTAGATTAGCTTAGTTAAACTGGGGGGATCCGCATTAACTGTGGGCAGTACCGTTCCGTGAGCTGGGGTCCTAGACTGAACAAAAAGGAGAAAAAGTAGCATGAACAGAGGCCTCCATGGCCCTCTGCTTCCTGACTGGGGACACAGTGTGTCTAGCTGTCTCCTGTATCATGCACCCCCTTCCATGATGGTCTGTGTCTCCTGGAGCTGTACGTTGAGACAAACCCCTCCACATCCTAAGGTTGTTTCTGCCGGGTAGCTAAGACAATGCGTGAGTCTGAGGAATGGCTAGACCTGCTGAGGCTGCCGGAAAGACCGCTAAGTCGTGTCAACTCGAACTACCGAAAGACAGTGTTTGATGGAGGCGTCTTTGCACGACGCACCATCTGCCGTGAGGAATCCAGGAGTTAATTAGGCCCATCTTCCTGCTGTGTTTATTTCAGGAGTCTAAGAAATCAACCAGCGTTATGCAGTTCAACCATCTCAGAGAACAGGTTTCTCTGAGTATATTCTCAGTATATTCTCAATATTTAGGATAAAAGGCAACCTTATTCATCAAATTTTTATTTGGTTTCCTTCCCTTTTTAATTAATTAATTTATTTATTTATTTTGCCTGTGTGCAAAGAAACAAGTTTCATTCACATACATCATTGTGCTTTGTTCTGATCTGCCCCTCTCACTGTCCTCCCAAATAGTCCAGTCTCCCTGTGGCTGTGACGAAGCCCACACTTACACAAAGCTAGCTCCCAGGCCCCTTACTTCTGCCTCCTGAGTGCTGGTATTTATGGGCATGGGCCAGCACATCTGCGGATTACAGTTGTTTGCTATGTTAGCAGCCTAGATTCTGGTAAGAGGAGGCCTCTTTTCTCAGTGTGGAACCTCGCTGTGGGATGGGAGCAATAGGCATCTTGCTCGGGAAGCCCAGACCATTTGCAGAACAACCAAAGCCGCTAAGGAACTACATGTTATAACTGGTCCATGGAAGATTGGCACAGAACTTGGCCAATGGAGCAGGGGCTGGATTTGTTCCTGATTTGGGATGAGTGGGTATTTAGCAGTACAAAATCCATATGCTCTGACCTCGGAGGAGACGCACCGGAACCTCAGTCTGATAAGGGTCTGTGGGTGGACTAGTTCACTTCCCTCAAGCTCGGTGTCATTTACTTCCAGCATGGAGTGTGTTTAGTTTCCTCTAAACAGATGTTTAGACCACATCTGTGTCTGAGCTCAGTGGCAAGCACACCTTCAGCAAATATGAATGACTCCACCTGTTGGCTTTGCTCTTTGTGGTGCAGATGGCCCTCAGGGCTCAGTTTAGCCGTTGCTGCTTTTAGGACGTCCACCCTCACCTTCCAAGCCTGACATTTCTTACCCAGGAACCATCACATCTTCCTCTCTTTCTGGCCCCCATGTCTTCATTAGCATCGGTACTTTTTGAGATTACAATATAATTACAGCTCTCCCTTCCCTTTTCTCACGCCTAGCCCTCCCACTATACCACACCTCCTTGTTCTGTAAATTCATGTGTGGTCTCTTTCTTTCATTAATTCTTACATGCATATGTTGATGTCTATTCATAGATATTCCTAAATATATCCTGCTCAGTCTATACACTGTTACTCATATGTAGGTCTTCAGGGCTTGGTGTGCTCTTCCCGAGGGAAGACTATTTCTTCTACTCTAAGCATTCCACAGTTGTCCGCCCTTCTTTGTGTGAGGTTGAGGCTCCGCCCACTTTGGCATGCGCATCAGTGCTCTCCTTGCTCTGCTGTTGTTTAGGTAGTTGTGTTGGTGAGACTCAATGGGCATAGCTGATACTCTGGCTCCTGCAATCTTTCTGCCCCTCCTTCACGTATGTACCTTTTCAGACAAAAGATATGTGTGTTCTGCTCTTGGTTGAGGTCCCAAGACATAGCATGAAGGTGAACACTCAGTCTGCACTTACTGAAAAACAAACTTGGGAATTTGGATGGACATTTGCTGGTTGGCAAACTCCGGACGTTTGTTTGGGGCTGGTGTAAGAGGTTGTAACAGGATTTGTCACTGAAGAAGTAACCTTGAAAATGACAAGTTCTTAGTGGCGTGCAAAGGCAGCACCTTGTGCTGGTGCTGGCGAGGCCTGCAAAGAACAGTCTATTTCAAGAGGTTTCAACCTGTTGGGTTTAAATGTGCACTAATCTTCTGTTGCCTTTTCTAGCACTGGAAGACACAGCACAGTGAGGAGTATGAAGCAGAAGGTAAGAGAGAGCGTTGGGGTGGGAGGGGACTGCTGAGGAGGTGGGAGGGGACTGCTGAGAAGGTGGCAGTGGGTGGGGACTGCTAAGGTGGTGGACAGTGGGTGGGGACTACTGAGGAGGTGGGCGGGGACTCATGAGGAGGTGGACAGTGGGTGGGGACTGCCGAGGAGGTGGGCGGGGACTGCTGAGGAGGTAGGAGGGAACTGCTGAGGAGGTGGACAGTGGGTGAGGACTGCTAAGGCGGTAGACAGTGGGTGGAGACTACTGAGGAGGTAGGCGGGAACTGCTGAGGAGGTGTACAGTGGGTGGGGACTGCCGAGGAGGTGGGCGGGAACTGCTGAGGAGGTGTACAGTGGGTGGGGACTGCTGAGGAGGTGGACAGTGGGTGGGGACTGCCGAGGAGGTGGGCGGGAACTGCTGAGGAGGTGTACAGTGGGTGGGGACTGCTGAGGAGGTGGACAGTGGGTGGGGACTGCCGAGGAGGTGGGCGGGGACTGCTGAGGAGGGACTGCCCTTGGCTATTATGGCTGAGGCAGGCACTCTGTACCCACTTGCTTGCTCCTTCCCTGGAAGCTAGCTGGGCATTGACATTAGGACCAACAGCACCAGAAAAAAAGCAAACAACATTTCCAAGTGATACTTCATCTTCAAGTCCTAGCTATTAATATGACCTGAAAGACGGCTTCTCAGGGTTCTTATTGCTGTGAAGAGACTCCATGACCCTGGCAACTCTTACAAAGGAAAACATTCCATTGGGACTGGCTTACAGTTCATAGGTTTAGTCCGTTATCATGTTAGGAAGCATGGAGGCATGCAGGGAGACTTTGTGCTGGAGAGGTAGCTGCTAGTTCTCCATCTGAATCGGCAGGCAGCAAGAAGTGGCAATGATACTGGCCAGGCTTGAGCTTCTGAGACTTTAAAGCCCGCCCCCAAGTGACACACCTCCAACAAGGCCACACCTCCTAATAGTGCCACTCCCTTTGGGCCTATAGGGGAACCATTTTCATTCAAACCACCATAACTTCTAATATGTAGCAGCCCACTTGCAGACCAGTTAGTCTCTGTTCAGACTCTCAAAGGAATGTGAATGTCCTGGTAAGTGCATCCTTTCCAAGTGTCCGGTACTGATCATACACTTGAAGCAGAACACATTGATCTTCTGGCCACCAGATGGCACTGTGGTTCAGCAGCAGGAGCCCTCCGCTTTCTCTTCTGCTAACCCCAGATGAGCTGTGGTTAAGTATAATTAAAACAATGTGTTCTCTGGCTCTCCAGCCTGGACTAACAGGATAGTGATGGGTTTAATTTCTGTCAATAAATGGCATGAATGACACCAATTAGTCCTTTCCGTCGTCAGTGGTTCTTCCAGGTACAGAAAATAGGTCCGATAGTTATCCCATGATGACTTCGTGGGCTCTCACATTTACAGCTTCAATTTAGAAGCAAGATGGTTAATACCAGATAAATAGTCTTGTGTTTCAATAAGTAGCCGGGCCCTCTCTTCAAACATTGTATCCTTCAGCTTGCCACGTCTTCTTTTAAGTTGCATTCTTGGGTTTCTGTGGGTCAGGGAGATTTGGAGACTAGCTGAACCTTGAAAGGCTCATTATGGTTGTTTCCTTCCCAGGAAAAGAGGCTGTGATGCTTAGACCAGAAAGAAAACAGAAATAAAAAATTCTGGGAAGGCCTCAGTTGAGGCCTTTGACCTGTGTCTCCTCAGTGTGAGATAATGTTCCTTTCTTGTGGGCGGCCGTCCCAGAGCAAAAAATGCCTCCTTACAATGGGACGTCAGCACCAAATCAAATCAATTTACAATGGGACGTCAGCACCAAATCAAAGCAGGGGCAATATTTATAGTTGTCTCATACAATATGTATTTGAGGATAGAGAGATGGTTTTGTAGTTAAGAGTACTAGTTGTTCCTTTCAGAGGACCCAGGTTCGAGTCCCAGTAGCACCTCTGTAACTGTAGTTCCTCCATGGACACTATATGCATGTGGTGCACAGACATACATGCAAGCAAAACACTCATGCATGCAAAAGTACAAAAACAATTGAAAGATCTACTCTCCAAAGGTATGTTTTCTGTTACAGCCACCATCCCTGTGGGAATCCTTTGAACACAACACAGTCTATGCTCGATTTTAGGTCAGCTAAGGTTTTGGAACCCGGATGACCTGAATGCTTCACACAGTGGGTCTTGCCCTCCCCAAGACTGGATAGAAGAGAAACTGCAAGAGGTTTGCGAAGATCTGGGGATCACTCGAGATGGTCACCTGAACCGGAAGAAGCTGGTTTCCATCTGTGAACAGTACGGCTTACAGAACGTGGATGGAGCGGTAACCGGGTGCTTTGTTCTCATTTGGGGCTGATACTGTGGCTACCCTGTGAGAGACATGCATTCTTTCTCCCTAGAAAGACAGCCTAGGGGAAAGTCATGCTGTGTGGTAGAAATCAAAGCTGATGTGACTGAGCTTCCTGAATATATAATACGGTCCCCTACTGTGCTATGTTACCTCATATGAGATAACCAGACGAGCTCAGCACTGCCAGCATATCGCTGTAGAAGCATCACCCAAAAGAGGAAAATGTGGGGAAACATGGAAGAATTAAGGAACGCCAGAGACTGAAATTAGAGTGTTTTGAAGGCCGGGCTGCTGGGTTTGCAGTTCTGGAAAGATCTCAGTGTCATCGCTTGTCACTTGGAGACACTGAAGTGGTGAATGGGACAGGCAGCTTCAGCAACCTCGGTCTGAAGTTTGCAGACTGGTGTTCGGGGAGCCTTGCTGTGAGGAACAGCCAGATTCAGGCCCATGAGGTAACGGGGTCAGGTAGGCTGGTGACTTTGAAGGCGTAAAGGGTCTTGAGAATCTGCTTTATGCTTTATGAGGAATCGAGAGATCTTCAGAATTAGTGTGTGAATAGCCGGGAAGCACCGGAAAATGCATGAGACAAGTCTTTCAAAAAGCTACAAAAAGGTTAGGGAAAGTTGGAGGTTAGGAGACAGCCATTGCTCCGGGATCCTTGAGTCTAATGATATCTGACACCACGCTGGCTGCCTCGGGGGTGGGGGGGATGGGGGGGACGGGGTGGGGGGGACCTACATGTGGTGGCATGTTCCTAACCAAGAGACTGGTCTTTAACGGCTGCCAAGTAGCCTGACTTGCAGGAAAGCTTGATTTTTCTCATCCGACGTGAGCATTATATAAACCCTCTGACAACCTTTGTAATACCCCAGGGCTCATTTCTTTTCAACAGTGGTTGTTGAGTCATAGAATTAATTGTCCCAATTTCTGAACCAATGTGGTCCAAAGAGCCTTAGGTTTTTGTTTTGTTTTTTAACCCAATAACATTTCACAAACTTGAATTGCTGATTTGGGAACAATCCTTGGGTTATAAACCGCAGCCACTCATGGGGAGCCGGCTTCCTTTTTTTCTGCTGGAGCTCCTGAATCCTGAGATGGCAAGGGACACTTTCAGTTCTTTCCCGGTGTTGCACCAATTAGGAAGGCATTGCTCATGGAACTTGCTCCTGCTCAGTGTTTCCACCCCCTCCCACCGAGAGAAATCAGGAGATGTCCTGCACTTTGTGTCCTTAGCTCTGAACCAAAGCTGAGTGCAAGCTGGTGTTATTGGCATCGGACTTGGGATCCTGGAACTTTACACCTGGAAGCAGTTTGAACTCTGTCAGCCTTTTGCAGAGGAAGCCAGTGAGATCGCTGCCGCCCTGCTTTTTGGAGGGAGAGCTAGATTTGTTCTCTGGCTGTCACTCAAACCACACTTTCTGTAAGAGAGGCCAGCAAAGGGGGCAGGGCTGGCAGACTACCTCCCTCGAGGCCACATCAAACCCAAGGATGACTTTGTTTGACCTGTCCAGTATTTTAAAAGCTGATCTTTGAGACACACTCTTTGAAACTGGAAGTTTCCCCTAAATATTTGCAATAGCAAGCCACAGCCAGTGTCTCTGGAGACCGCAGGCAGCCATGTACTCAGCTAGAATTGACCTCACCACTTGCTCTCTGATGTTGGAAGCCTTCATGCCTCAGTGACTCCTGTCACCTCCCAGACCCCTGTGGGTGTCCGGTCCCTGGGCCTTCTTCTGGTGCACGTTTCCCATCCTACACAGGGAGAAGTCAGCCACCCACAGACCTGGCCAGTGTGGGAAATGAAAATGACCTTGTTCTAGATGGGACCCCTGTTTCCAATGAGGGCAGGTACCCCAGTTGCTTATGTGCCCAGCATTCTCTTGAGCCCAGTCATGACCATCCAGCCCTTTCTAAATTCACATCCTTTTACTCACCACTTCTCATCCTGAGCTCTGCCTTAAAATAACTGGCAAGAGTCTATTACTCCAGCGGGTTTGGATCGATTAAGTGACGGGTGTTCAGGCCACCTAGAAACTGCACGGATTTGGCCAAGTATGGATGTATAATCCATTGGTATGTCTGGATTTCATGGATATTTCTGCTTGGATGATCCTCAAAGCTTCGTCCCTTAGGACGTAGTTCTTTAGATTGGCGAGAAAGAGACAGAAAAGCTGAAGGCGTTCGGCAGGCTAAGCATCTTGTCTCAAATGCCACTGATCACAAGATCCAGTTAGAACCTGTTATTTCTTCCACAGATTTTTTTTTTCTTCTAGGAGAGTTTCCTTGTCTCAGAATCCTCTCTCAAATGAAACATATGTCTCCTCTGACTTGGGAAAAAGCGTTTGAGATAAAATTCGTTAGCATACTGTCTTCTTGCTTCTTGAGTCTTGGACATCATATGGGAACTTGTCACCAGTACAGTCTTAAGTCCCTCCCTTAGCGCACGACAGCAGCCATATTGTAAGATCTCTGAGTGGTTTCTGTTTTGTTCTTGGAGGCCTGTTCCGTAAGGAACTTTTACCACACAGTGAAGGCCTGTGTCTTTCCCTCTGCCTGTGGCTTCATGGATTCATGCCACTCTTTCCCCTGTTCCATTCCTGTTAGGAGTAAGGAACAAACCGCCCCTCGACAAGCCTCCACACCGGTTGTGGTCCAGTCTCCCTGTTCTTTATTGTATGATAAAAATTATACAGTGGCCACCAGAGAATACAGAGTGGAGAGGCAAAATTCCTTCCTCTTCCAATGTATGAGATCCTCCTTTTGCACACACACAAACAAGACCAGTCTCACCCAGCCTTGGTCTTTCCTGGGCTAACACATTAAAACGCGACTTCAGCATGTTCCAAGGAGCATCACTGCGGTCTGTGCCAGAGCAAATTTGTCATGTGAGCAGGCTGCTTGAGTTCCTTTTCCTGTTTCTGTAATAAAACATCCTGGAGGGGGGCAGCATAGGGGAAAGGGCTTTGTCTTAGTCACCATCCCAGTGCCATGACAAACACCATGGCCAACACAACTGATAGAAGAAGCATTTAATCGGCGCCTTGGTTATAGCTTAGAGGGTGAGTCCATGGTCATCATGGCAGGAAGCGTGGTGGCTGGCAGGCAGGCATAGGATAGCGCAGTAGCTGAGAGCTTCTGTCCTAATCTGCAGGCAGCAGACACAGAGAGAGGAAGACTGCACCTAAGGTGGACTTTTGCAACCCCAGTGACACACTCGTCCAACAAGAGCACACCTCCAAATCCTTCCTAAACATTTCCACTGTGAATCAAGCGTTCCAATATATGTGCCCACGGGGGTCATTCTCATTCAAACCAGTGCAGGTTTATTCTGCTTCACCATGTAAGGTGCACAGTCTACCGCAGCACAGACGTTAGAGCAGCAGGGATTTGAATCATATCTGGTCATATCCCATTCATAATCAGGAGCAGGTGATGAACAAATGCTTGCTCCAGCTCAGCCCACTTTCTCCACTTGGGGAGTCCAGGATCCCAGCCTCCATGGGCAGAGCTTCCCATTTTAGTTGATGCAACCAAGATAAGCCCCCATAAACAAGCCCAGGGGCCCCTCAAGTTATTTCAAATCCTGCCAAGTTAGCAGTTGACACTAAACATCACACATGCCAATCTGAAAACTTCAGTATAAGCCAGATATCAATTGCTTAGAACCACCACATTTTGAAGGCATAACGAATGTCCAATTAACATAGGGTTATGAGCTAACTGTATGTATGAAGTGATTTTTAAAATTTATAAAAATAATAATACCTGAGACATTTAAGGCTGCCTGTCTTGGAAGGATGAATGAATGAAAGAAAAGTTGATTGCTAGATTATATAATATTATGGAGATACTGAAAATGGACTTTTGTTTGAGGGAGAGGGGAGGACATCATTTCTAAAGAGGGGAACTCTTTTAAATGAGACTAGAGACAGCAGTATATGCCTGAAGTCCTAGAGTCGACAGGGGGGTGGATTTCTGTTGACCAGAAGTATGTTGTGCATGTGCTATTTGTGCGTGTTTAAAACACGGGATTGCTCTTTCCTAGACGTTGGAGGAAGTCTTTCTCAGCCTTGATCCCGATGGTACAATGAGTGTCGAAGATTTTTTCTATAGTCTGTTTAAAACTGGGAAGTCCCTCACAACATCGGCATCTACTCCCTACAGACAACTAAAGCGGCATCTCTCTATGCAGGTAAGAGGTCAGCACACAGAGCTAGCTGCGTGTGTTGGTGCACACCTGTGATCCCAGTCCTAGGGAGGTAGAGGCCAGACAGCCATGCAAGGTGGAGGTTAGCGTGGACTACTTAGTGAGACCTGTCTTAGGAAAGAAAAGAAGAATCAATGGAATATTTTCTTTCAGAATAAGTGTTAAGAAAAAACCCATTTAGTAATTCTGAATGGCTTAATTTGTTGTCTAAAGGAAAATACAAAGATGAAAAGGTATTCTAGAGAATGAGAAAGACTAAGCCATTCGAAAGGAAAGGATGGTTCGAGTAATGGCCATAAATTACAGAGTGTGAAGGCCACAAATTATGCCTCATGATGACAGCGTGGGGTCGAAGAAACCTGGTATCAAGTAGCCATGCATCTCATCTTCAGCCAACTCTCCCAGAACAGTTCTTTCTGATAAGCTTGTAGGCTTGGCTCCCTGGGAACCACAGATCAAAGGCACAGCAAGGCTTCCCTACCTCCACCCCAGGCTGTGCCAATTGAATTCTGCCCAGCCTGGCGGTCCCAGTCTTAGCTGGTATCCAGCTGATTTTTCTGGGGCTCACCTTGGTTTGCTCAGGACTCTTTCTTCTTCCAGTCTTTTGATGAGAGTGGACGGAGGACCACGACCTCGGCAGCCATGACAAGTACCATCGGCTTCCGGGTCTTCTCCTGCTTGGATGACGGGATGGGCCATGCATCTGTGGAGAGGATTCTGGACACCTGGCAGGAAGAAGGCATTGAGAACAGCCAGGAGATCCTGAAGGTGTGGCGGAAACTGGCAATCCCAGAAAGGGGGTGTCGGTTTATCTTTTGAAACAAATTTTTTTTTAAAAACTTTTGATGATTTATTTAACTTTATTTTATGTACATTGGTGTGAAGGTGTCAGATCTTGTGGAACTGCATTTTCAGACAGTTGTGAGCTGCCATGTGGATGCTGGGAATTGAACCCGGGTCCTCTGGAAGAACAATCAGTGCTCTTAACCGCTGAGCCATATCTCCAGCCCCATGAAACAAATTTTTGACTTGATTTTTCCTGAATGACTTAATGGTTCTGAGACCTCAGAGATAAGAGATAACTTTTCATGCACACTTTAACCAGAAGCCTATGGCTGAGTAGTTCCATAGTTTTTTTTTTAAATCTCAAATTATTGAAGATAATTTCAATATCTAAGTTCATCTTCACTTGACAGAGTTTGAAATACACCTACTGTGTTTGCTTACAATGTCAGGTGGGCTGTCATGAGGTTGGTTTCCTTAAGAAAATGGTGTTCTAACTGAAAGCTGCCCTCTGAGACACCCTCCTGGTCTCTCGGCTGGCTTCCGTCTCCTCTCCGTTCATACAGCTTCCGCGCTCTCTGCTTCTGGGAGCTGGGCTTGTCGTTTGTTTTGACTCCGTGTTGTTCTGATTCCCAGGCCTTGGATTTCAGCCTGGATGGAAATGTCAACCTGACAGAACTGACGCTGGCTCTCGAGAATGAACTCTTGGTTACCAAGAACGGCATACACCAGGCAGCTCTGGCCAGCTTCAAGGCCGAGATCCGGCACCTGTTGTAAGTCGAGCAGGTTTGCCTGGTCCATTCCCTTGTCGCCCGTGTCACCGGCCCCTGGAGCCTTTTCTTGCCCACAGCCTAGCGTGGCTGCTCTTCCCATCTGTTGAAGGGAAGCGAGCTGGGGCTCCGATTGGCAGGAGCTTCTAAAGGGAACTGTGGACGGCATTTTCGTTTGGGAAAGGTTTTGGTTGTCTTGGCTTTGTGTTTGTTTTGAAGCGAGTCAGATGAGAGGGGGGTTTTTGGAGTCTCCTGGTTGCTTAGAAACAGCTTCCTACTAATTCACTTTCTTTCTAATTCTAGGGAACGAGTTGACCAAGTGGTCAGAGAGAAAGAGAAGCTACGGTCGGACCTGGACAAGGCGGAAAAGCTGAAGTCTCTAATGGCTTCAGAGGTCGACGATCACCATGCGGCCATTGAGCGGAGGAATGAGTACAACCTCAGGTGTGGCCAGAAGGGCGAGGTCAGGGTCCTTCCCTGACTTTCCCAACCCTCCGTTATCCCTCTACCCCAACTCAGGGCAGGTTGGGAACAGAGCTAGGGACCATATCTGACTGGAGAGGTACAGCCCAGCCTCCGGGAAGGAAGGCAGAGCACTTTTAGGCCTTGTCACGGTGTGCCTCTGTCTCCAGTTTGGGAATCGTCACATACTGTCCTCCAGGGAGTCTAAAGACCACATTGATCTGTCCTCTGTCACAGGAAGCTGGATGAAGAATACAAGGAGCGCATAACAACCTTGAAGAACGAACTCCGCCAAGAGAGGGAGCAGATCCTGCAGCAGATGGGCAAGCAGCGGGTGGAGCTCGAGCGGGAAATTGAAAAGGCCAAAACGGAAGAGAACTATGTCCGGGACCGCCTTGCCCTCTCCATGAAGGTAGCCTTCCTGTTAGCCCTGCAGCCTGGATCCAGGCTGGGTACCCACACAATGCTCCTGCGCTCTTAAAGCCTAAGTCTGCATAGGGCTAAACGCAAGGATCCTCACTGCCCTGGCCAGGACATGGTGGTGGCTTTGCTGGCATTTGGGACTGCAGGGGGGCCTAGGGTCTGGTAAGAGCTCTCTGCTCCTCCTTTATGCTCCTTTTGCCATATCCCCAACATCGCAGGCCGTATTAACTTCCCATTCCCATCACACCCCCTTTCTTGTTGTCAGTAGTAGGTTGTGCCTCTATGATTGTAGCTGTACCCCCTGCCTTCCTCCTATTGTCCCATATTGTCCTTCATGCTCAGTATATGATTTGGTATCCAGAGCAGCAGCCAGGGTCTGGAGTGCAGGGTTTGCTCTGTCAGTTCAGCATCTAAGTGTGGCTATTCTTTGAGAGACTGAAATAATAGAGTTCGCGCTTTAGGAGAAGGTAGAGTTTTGTTGTTGTTTTTGTTTATTTGGTTGGTTTTTCAAGACAGGGTTTCTTTGTGTAGCCCTGGCTGATCCTGTAGACCAAGTTGGCCTGAACTCGCAGAGATCCACCTGCCTCTGCCGGGATTAAAGGTGTGCACCACTACCCGCCTCCCCCACCGCCCGCTAGGTTTTTTTTTAATGCGTTAAGTACATTTTTTAAACTCCATATTGCCATGTGAGAGTGTGAACTAGAATACATTAAAAATATACTGGCTCTCTATTCTTTTGGCAAAATGTACTTGGAAAAAAAGCATTCTTCCAATCAGCCCTTAACACTGGAGATGAAAATATGTCAAATGGCAAGTCTGTATTCCTGGGTTGTTTTTTTTTTTTTTAAACAAATGTGGGTGAAATCTTTCTAAAATGTACTGTGAAAAATCTTTTTTTTTTTAATGGAAAGTTTGTGAGTTTCAGTTGGTATGTTATTTTATTATAATTTGCTTTTGCATATAAGTTATGAGCCATTTATGTGTAACTTCTATATCCTTACACCAAAATTATCTATAAATTAGCTGCAAACTGCAATGCCCATTAATTAAGATTGATTTTGGATTTACTCTTCTTAGTTCTTCTGAGCCTCCTGTTATAGCTAGACAAGGTGTTTCTCTTTAACATGAATCAGTTTAGTGGGGACACAGTGACATGAGCACGTGGCGGTCAGGGGATAACTTTCAGGAAGTCACTTCTCTTCTCCGTGTGGGCCTTGGGGTGTTGGCTCAGTTGGTCAGGCTTGGTGGCGCGTGCCTTTGCCCAGTGAGCCAGCTCGTGCCGCCGGCCCTAGGAAGGGACTTTATAACCGGTTTCTTACAACAATTCATTGAGAATCTGTCACTTAAAGCACTCCATTGTGATGCCGCATAGAAATAAAATAAAGCCATCTATGTTCTTCTTTTTTTTAAAGCAAGCATGTATTGCTGTCCATTATTAGAAAATAGTGTCCACATTAAGAAATGGAGTTAACGCCGGGCGGTGGTGGCGCACGCCTTTAATCCCAGCACTCGGGAGGCAGAGGCAGGCGGATCTCTGTGAGTTCGAGACCAGCCTGAGCTAGTTCCAGGACAGGCTCCAAAGCCACAGAGAAACCCTGTCTTGAAAAACCAAAAAAAGAAAAAAAAAAAAAAAAGAAAGAAAGAAAAAGAAATGGAGTTAACTTCAAGCCATTTAATGTGGTATCTACACGGCACTGTCATTTTGGGACGGAACCAGTGAGCAGAAACCACACTGAGCCGTCTTCTGCATTTGTAGCTTGCCGTGCGGATCCCGTGTGGATTCTCCTCTGACAGTGTATGTCCCAGTTGGTCCCGGATGTATTTCCAACGCTCGATACCCACATGGGCCTGTTAGTGGCTAAGGCGTGGAGGAGCACAATTTTATAAGGTCCTCTTTAAAGCCAGACTTTCAGATCGTGCCCTAGGTATCGGCCCTTTTAATAACTGTTTTGTTTCTAGTTTTCTCTAGCTTTAATGATAGATGGCTTTCCTTAATCTCTAGTCCTCGTTTCTATTTCATGTAAAAGTGATAAGACTCCAGTGTTCTGATTTCTGACTTGTGTCGTGTTTATTTTACCAAATTTTTAAGGAAAACCATCGCCTGGAGAACGAGCTTCTGGAAAACGCGGAGAAGTTGGCAGAGTATGAGGCCCTGACCAACAAACTTCAGCACAATCTGGAAAATGTGTTAGCAGAAAAGGTAGTCCATCTCCTTCCGATTTCCTTGACAAGTTGCCCAAAATGTCACTCACCCAAAAGAGCAGGGGCAATGCCAAGAACATTTTTATTAGGGAACTGTTTGGACTCCTGCAGGAAGCCGTAACTTCTCAGGATAGAATTTGGAGTAGTGGCCGTGAGGAAAAGCATTGCTTGGCATGGAGGTGGGCTCCCGACCCAGGCGGAAGACATGGCTCTTGGGTGTTCTCCTGTTCTGGTTGGTGGTGTCTCTGCTCAAATGCCACATTCCTGTCATATCTGGGAGCTCGGGTGACACCAGAAACTGGGATCTTTGGAATGTGATAGGTCAAAGAAGGGCCCTTGGGAAAAATGACAGCCTTGTTTTTTGTCCTTTCTAGTTTGGTGACCTCGATCCCAGCAGTGCTGAATTCTTCCTTCAAGAAGAGAGGTTGGCGCAGATGCGAAATGAGTATGAGCAACAGTGCAGGGTGCGTGGCTGATGGGAACTTAGCAGTGCAAGGGGGCCGGGGTTCAAGTCCCAGCCTCGGCACTTCCTGATCTCGTCTACTGCAATCTATGGGTGCCTCGGCTTCCTTTGTGCACGGTGGCAAAATGAGTGCCCACCCTAAGGGCAGCTGTGGAAGCTCAGAGAGAATCTGTGCAACGTGCTTGGAGCAGAGCCAGCCACACACGAAACACATCCATGAACGCTAGCTACTCATTGTATCCATATCCTGGGCTGTCAGTAGTCTATCTTGTCTTGTGACTGTATAGAGGAATGTCCAGTTTTATGCTGAGTGAAGACATGCGTGGCTATATTGATGTGTTTATTCCAAAATTAGCTTCCCCTAGCTGCTGTTGTAAACTTGATGTGACTGGAGTTAGTGTTGTCCTGGTTCCTACCCCTTTTTCCAAATATTTGAAATTCTAAATATTTCTAAATTATTTGGAAAAGGCAAAACCTCGGAGCAGAAAGCACTCAGGCTTTGGTTGTTAGCCATCCCAGGGTCTACCAGACGCAGTTGTTCTTAGGACTGTTTCTTAACTTCTCTAAGCGTAGGAATTTGATCTTTTTTTCTTAAGTCAAAAATACTTATTAACGAGGTAGGTTGAACTGAGTTCTTGTTTTAGATACAACTTGTCCTTGTGAAGAGATGAGGAAATCCATCCATCCATTCCCCCCCTCCCCCCCGTGAGATTGCTGCTGGCCTGCCTCCTCAGGAGCTGAGCTGCACATCTAGGAAGTGACAGGCACTTCTGCTGCCTTCACCATCCACCCATGTTATTATAGTTGTCTCTAAAGTGAATGAATCGTCAGTAAACCCGTTACTGATGCCCTCAGAATTCTCCTGTTTCATCACTTTGGAACCACTTTGTATGCCCCGCATTCCTTGCGTTCAATGTATGCATACAATTCCGTGTCTTTAATTATATTCAAACAGCTGAGCCATCCTGACCACACTCAGTGTGAGAATGTTGTCATCTCTCCAGGGACACCCCCCACCCAGTTCCACTTTAGCTGGCTTCTCTTGTTTATTGTCAACCCCCCCGTCCCACCTCCCACCACAAGCAGCTATGGGTCTATTTTCTGTCTCTGAAGAGCTAATCTTCACCTTTCATAGAAATGGAATCATGTAGCATGGTTCTTTGTAAACGGCTTCCTTCAGCTGGTGATATGGACCATGTTTATCATGTTGATGTATGTGTCTGTGTTCTCTTCCTTCCAGTGGCTGAATAAAATCCCGTTGTATAGATATGTAACATTTTGTTAGTCAGTTAGTAGAAATTTGGGTTTTTAGGGATGTATACTTTGATATAGATTTTTGCCTGGGCATATATATATATATATATATATATATATATGTTATTTCTTTTGAGGTTTATACCTCAAGTGTTCAACTGAGACACAAGATAAATCAATGTTTGACTTTGGGGAACTGGCAGACCTCCTCTGAGGTGCTGACACCATGTTCCTTCGAACCGTAGGAGAGTCCCAGCTTCCCCACGTCTTTCTCTACCATTGTTGTCATACAGCAACCTGGTACCTAACAGTGTCGCAAGTCTTCTGATGTATTTATTGGCTGTTTGTGTGTCTTCTTTATTGAGCTATCTGTTATCGCATTTGCCCATTTTTTAAGTTGAATTCCTTGTCTTTGAGTTCTAATAATATTTATAAACTTGAGTTATAAGTTCCTACCTGATAGTTAACAAAACTTTCCTCCAATTACATGTATTATCTTTTTACTCATCTTAAAAATATGTTTTTATTTCCATTATGTGTATATGTGTTTGTGTTGTTTTGGCATTTGAGTGCAGTACCCCCAGAGGCCAGAAGAGGGAATCAGACTCCCCTGGAGTGGGAGTCAGGTGATTGTAGACCCCCTGGTGTGGGAGCTGGGCACCAAATTCAGGTCCTGTGCATAGCAAGACAGGTTCCTGACCTCCGAGTTCGCTCTTCAGCCACCTTCTCTTTTTTACTTTCTTGGTGTCTTTTGAAGCATAGAAGTTTATGTTTTGCAATTATCCATTTTATCTGTTTTTCTTGTTGCTTGCGCTCTTGGTGCCCCATGTAAGACTGGTGTTGTTGGTTTTTAAACTCCAGCTTTTACAAGACCAAGTGGATGAACTTCATTCAGAGCTAGAAGAATATCGTGCACAAGGAAAAATATTAAGGCTCCCCTTGAAGAACTCGCTGTCAGAAGAACTTGACCTTCACAGTGGTGGCATTGATCCCGACCAAGGTAAACACAGTTGCACACAATCTTTCTGGTATCTGCATTTGACCTGGTTTCTAGAACCATGGCTACATGCAGCATTGCTGAACACTGGCATCCTGGAATCCAGGGAGGGAGAGACTTTGGCAGTCTCATTTTTTGAGCTGTCTCACTTGTGGCTGGGTTTCTCATTTGTCCTTGAGGTCTCTGTAAAAAAATATTTCTGATTTTGATATTGCTGACTCTTCCCTCCCCGCCAGTGTCTGCCTGGTATGAAGATGGTTTGGAAGAGTGAGCCAGCCACACACCACAGAACCCATAACTGGTTTTCAAAGGCTGGCTAAGCTAAATGCCTTATTTGCCTCTGCAGAACAGCAAATGAGTTAATAGCTACTGTCTGTGGCTGGGGGGAGGCAGTGAGTGGCGAGGGTGGCAGGCCTGTTTGGGAGCCACAGTACAGCCCTGCTCAGCTCTTTGCCTAATGCCTGCCTCTTTGCTCGGTGCGTTGTGTTTTCGTTTCAGCAAGGCTCACGTGAATTCTGCTGCTCTTGTAGCTTCTTCTCCCCTTTGGTTCTTAGGAAGGTGGTTTATTGCTTCTCTCACCTCTACCGTAGGACCATCAGGTGGTTGGGAGGTGGTGGAAGAAGTCATGAGTTTTTTTCTTCTGATCCGTGACTCACTTGCTGTAGCTTATCCACCCCAATGTTGGGGGTTAGTGCCAAGGAACTCCGCCACCTTGGCATGGGGATGTGTTAAAATATATGAAGAGAAAGCTCAAGGCAAGATTGTCGATCCCAGCTGCTAGAAGTCTGCCCTAGAACGTTGTCCGTCTGCCTTCAGGTCTTCCAAAGGAAAAAACTATTTGAGTCTCACTGCCCTGAGACTTCTCTACCTGGTAGTAGATGTATTTGACCTTGTGCTAGCTCAGTCCTCAACTTCTGTCCAATTTCCCTGTGGTTCTTCTTGTGACCAATGGAAAAGGTAAACTCCCTGGAAGCCGTTGAGACTCTCCTCCCCAGATGTCCACACCCACTCCTCTGAGCCACGCCCTATTTATAGCTGATTGTTTTAAGGCGAAAAAGCCTAGACACCAGGACATTCACGACAGTAAAACAATTGTATGCGATATTGAGGGATGGATCAGACCTCTTGGCCCATGAAGTTAGTCCCATAAGCCTCAGCAGCAAGGGTATCAGCCATACAGTCCCCCGCCACATCACCTTCTGAATTTGTCACTGGGCAGTTTCTGGATTGACAGAAGGCTGGTTCATTTGAACAAACTCTACCTATACTATCTCCCTGCCACATAGCATTTTACAGAGAGCTCACATTCAACCAACATATTCCATACATGCCCATAAATCATTAAAAAAGATGTTCCGCGGAGGCAAAGGCGTGGTTTGGCACACCGCCTATATTCAGGAGAATATATCCACCTTCCTCTTGTTACCCTAATGCCTGGAGAGCAGAGAAGCTGTTCACAGCTTTACACATGGGCACATCTGGCTGAGAAGGATCCCTTAGTCAAGCCATACCGCTCACCAGATGCCAGTGTGTGCCAATGACAACCTGAGGCAGCGTCCGTGGTTTCCGTGTGTTTCCAGGGCTCGGTTCTGAAGAATGCAATCCCTTGAATATGAGCATCGAGGCAGAGCTGGTCATCGAGCAGATGAAAGAACAGCATCATAGGGACCTGTGCCACCTCAGACTGGAGCTGGAAGAGAAGGTAAGCCTTGCTTCCCAGTCTCATCCTCTGGTGGCGGGGAGCCCTGTCAGCATGCCAAGTTTCCTGCTGCTCCTTCCTCACAGGCCCGTTCTGTGATGTCATTTTTTTCCCCTGGTCCTTGGTGTCGGCAGTGAGAAAGTTGTCCAGCGTGTGGTGTGCTCAGCCTCTCATATTGTAATATACTAATTATAGTGTTTTTAACTCAAAACTATCCCAGTTAACAAACAAACCAACCAACCCTTTCTCTGATGTAGTACCACTTACTAGATTAGATACAGCTTCTTACCCCTGGCCTCTCAGTCCTTCACTGTGTGGCCGCTCACCTTCACCATGTTTTGAGTTTTGGGTTTTTTTTTTTTCCCTTTCTTGCATGTGGTATTTATTAGGCATCTTTACACATGTAGTCATGCTAGCATTCAAGAGCATATGAGTGTGTCAAGGCTGGAGATTGACATCCAGTGTCTTCCTTGATTGGTCTCTCACTGAACCCAGAGCTCGGCCATCCGTCTAGTCCAGCTAGCCCAGGGGACCCTCTGTCTCTGCTTCCACGGTGCTGGGGTCACATGCATCTTGGACATATACACGTCACCACGCCCAGCTGTCTTTATGTGGGTTTCAGGGATCAAGCGGAAGTCCCCGTTACCGAGTGCCACCTCCTCCGCCTCTGCTTTCATGCATTCACTTGAGTTTTGCTGGTCTCCAAATAGCTCTACCGAGCTCTGTGTGGCGCCTCAGAGGTGCTCCCCCCCCCATCTCCCCACCTCTGCTTCCCCACTGCAAACTTAGGGTCGAAAACACTTAGTCTGTAAGGTACTCCGCAGGCCACACCAAACACAAACTTGGGGAAGACATTGTTAATTCAATGAGAGACCCTGCAGCTCCCTGGTCCGCCAGCCTGTTCAATGAGTTCCAAGCCCATGAAAGACCTGTCTGTGAAAAAGAATGTGGATAGTGGCTAAAGACTGACATTGTGGTTGTCCTCCTGTCCCCACGCATGTGCATACACACCTGCATGTGCATCTCCTTCTACACATACAAGCACACACATGCACAAACCCATATACCTAAAGAAATATAAGCGGACCTTGCTTGCTTTAGTATTTTACTTCAGGTGCTTTTGAACCTTCGCTGCTTTCAATCAGGGTGAGAAATCACGAGAGTCCTGTGGGACAGAGGTGCTTGTTGCCGCCACGCTCCCTTTGCATAGCCTAGAACCCAGTCACCCCGTGTGTTCACTGTCCGGTTCTAGGTGCGCCATTATGAGAGGCAGCTGGATGAAACCAGGGGGACCTGTGAAAAGGAGCAGGTGGCCATGAAGCAAAAATATGAACATGGAATGCTCACCTTGGAGACCCAGATAAGTGACCTTCGAGGTGAGATTGCCGATCTCCAAGGGCAGGCAGTGGTGCTGAAGGAGGCCCACCACCAGGCCAGCTGCCGGCACGAAGAAGAAAAGAAGCAGCTGCAACTGGTGTTTGAGGAGGAGAAGACTCAGCTTCAGGAGGAGCTGCGGCTGGAGCATGAGCGGGAACTCAAGGCCAGGCTGCAGCAGGCCGAGGAAAGTTTTCAGCGGGAGAGAGAGGAGCTCGCTCAGGGGGCTGCCTGGGCCGAAGAGAAGGTGAGGGACTTGACGCAAAACCTGGAGCAGTCTTACCAGGATCAGCTGCTGAGCCTGGAGGAGAAGCACGCGCTAGAGAAAGAGGAGCTGAGGAAAGAGCTCTTGGAATGCCACCAAAGGGAACTTCAAGAGGAAAGGTAAGAAAGTGAGGGGAACGGAGCCATCTGGCCACTGCTTCTTTTCTTGGGAGTTCCTGCCAGTCAGAGAAGACTAAGGGGCAGAGAAACCCATATATCAAAATCGTTCTTTAAAAGCTAATCCAGCCAGTTTTGCCTTGTTGACTGGGAGCCTCCCTTGGGGTTCCTGGAACTATTGTGATGCATGCACACGGGAGGGCGGACAGTCAGAGGAACTGCTCCTGTATGATACTTACCGCCTCTCTGTGCTCCAGTTGAGGGCCAGGTCCTTCCTGCTTCGATGCTGTTGCTTTCGGAGAGACGCTGTTTATAAGCTAGGTTCTGGACACGCTTATGAAAGCCATTATGAAAGGCCACTTTGTGTTTGCCTTCCTTGTGTGAAATCCCAGGTGTAACCGAGAGATTTTGTTTCCCACCTTGCTTAATATAGTGTTGTTTTAGTAAATGAGAAGCAAACGCAGAAGATAGTTATTATTAATGTCTGATTTATGCACCTGAAATCCCACAATGCCTTCTTCACCCAAGCAAAGAAGTGTTTGCTAGATGAGGGTGAGGTCACTGTGTCTTTGGGCATTTTGTGTGAAAGGGGCCAGTTTAAGGCATTGGGTTAAGCCACAGAAGTACATCCGGGAATATATAAAAGGATTTGGTTTTGTAAATTTCCCCCTGCTTCAGAGAAAGGTAAGTTTTCAGATTTATCGCCACCAGCCATGACTCCCAGAGGAGAGGACCCCTTTCTGGTACACCTGAATCAGATCGTTGTAGAAAGCGGTCCCGTTGTTGGCTCAATGACCTCCCTTGTGCCTGGGAAAATGTTGGTTTGCTTCCGGAGTTGGCAGCAGTTTCAATAATGCTGTCTGTTGACCACATTTAGGGAAAAAATGGAGACAGAGTGTACTAGAAGAGTCTCTCAGATAGAAGCCAAGTCTCAGGCTGACTGTGAGGAAGTCACTGAGCGCTGTGAGCAAAGTCTGCAAAGCCTGGAGGGGCGCTACCGCCAGGAGCTAAAGGACCTCCTGGACCAGCACCTGGAGGAGAGAGTGCAGTGGGAGTTTGAGAAGGATGAGCTCGCTCAAGAGTTCACGGATGCCCAGGAGCAGCTGAAGGAGGCGCTCCAGAGGGAGAAGGAGCGAGAGATGATGGAGAAGACGTACAAGGAACGTTGGACCAGCCTGAGCATGGAAAGAGATCAGCTGCTACAAGACCTGGAAGACCTACGGAACACTTCCGAGAGCCAGCACCGCCTCTTGTCTGACCAGATTCTTGAGTTAAAGAGAAGTCAGGAGAGAGAGCTGAGGGAACAACAGGAGCTCTGCCAAACAGGGTCCTTTGAGCAGCTGGCCAGCCAGCAGCTTGAAAGGCTACAGGTAGAACGAGAGAAAGAGAGGCGGGAAATGCTAGGCAAGCTTGCGGCCCTGGAGAGCGCCCAAAGAGTGAGTCGTGAGCAAGCAGATCTAGAGAAGGCAGAGCTGAGTGCAGAAATCCACAGGCTTCAAAATGCAGTCAAGGACATGCAACAGGCGACATCTCTCTCCGTCTTTCAGAGTGCTCATTCCCTGGGAATGGCAGGGGAGGAGGCAGAAGGAAATGGGGCCATGTCCCTGCTCCAGCAAGGCGAGCAGCTGTTGGAAGAAAATGGAGACGTCCTCCTCAGCCTGCAGAGAGCCCATGAGCATGCAGTGAAGGAAAATGCAAAAATGGCTACTGAAATTTCCCGATTGCAACAGAGACTGAAAAAGTTGGAGCCAGGGTCAGTGGTGTCGTCCTGTTTGGAGGAGCAAATGGCCGAGATTTCTGGAAGTTCCAGGGAGCAGGCAGAGCCATTTTTATCACAAATAAAGCAAGGAGAAAGTGCAGCCGCTAAGCACGTTCTCAGTGACCTAAGAGCGTGCGAGGCCCAGGACCTGGGAAGTACAGGGACAAGCTCTGTACGGAGGCAGGAGGGCAAAAGCGAGGAGTCGGAAATTTCCCTGGAGTGCCTCTCTGAGCTTGGAAACAGTGAAGACACCAGGATGGAATCCTGGGACCTGAAGAGCCAGATCATTCAGCTTCAGGAGCAACTAACGGTCTTGCGTGCAGACTGCGATCGGGCTTCAGAAAGGAAACAGGACCTACTCTTTGATATCTCCGTGCTGAAGAAGAAACTAAAGATGCTCGAGAGAATCCCCGAGGCATCTTCCAGATATAAGTTGTTATATGAAGATGCCACTAGAGAGAACGTCTGCCTCCAGGAGGAGTTGAGACTCATGGAGACACGCTACGATGAGTCGCTGGACAGCAACAAAGAGCTCACTACTGAAGTCTTCAGGCTGCAGGAGGAGATGAAGAAAATGGAGGAGGTGATGGAAACGTTCCTTAGCCTGGAGAAGAGTTACGATGAGGTCAAAATGGAAAATGAGGAGCTCAGTGCTCTGGTGTTGAGACTTCAAGGGAAGATGGAGAAGTTGCTGGGAGGAGCCCCTCTGCACTATGACAGCTACCCCTTGTGGGACACCCCTTCAGAAAACCTGGAGGTCATCTCTGATGAAAATGTGCTTGAACTCCATCCGACCCCAGAAGCGTGCACACCCAAGGTCACGAGCATGCACGTCATCGAAGAGCACAGAGAGGAAACCAAATGCTGTGAGCAGGGAAGCATGCGGCTCCTGGCTCGAATAAAAGCGCATGAAGTTGCCTGGTCCCACGGGACAACTCAGACCCATCACGAGAAGCCCAGTGTGCAGAATCAAGTCACCCTGGAGGAGAGGGCTGCTCTCCCTGGTCTCCAAGGCACACAGCGTCACCATCAGGTCACAATCGCAGAACTAGGACTGGAGAAGCAGAAGCTACAGGAGCTGACTAGAAAGTTGAGGGAGCGAGTCAGTACATTGATTAAACAAAAAGACTCGCCTTCTCAAGGAGAGAAGGAGGAGGAGCTGAAGGCAATGATGCAGGACTTGCAGATCACGTGCAGTGAGATGCAGCGGAAAGTTGAGCTTCTGAGGTAATGTATGTGCCTTCTAGACCTCCCGGAAGCCTGCAGAGCACCTGGGCAAATCTAACCATCGCCGCTTGCTGTGCCTAGAGACACTAACCCGTTAGTCTCAAGAAGAGCAGTGTTCTGGCCTTCTTCTGCTTCTGTGTGCATTAACACCTAGTGTAACCTTGTCTAGGAGGCGTCCCCTTCCACATAGTAAATCCGTGTTGTCCCTCTGGAGCGTGGGAACTCAACATGGTGAATGTCTGCTATTTAACCACGTGCGTCACGGGTGTCCGTCCTTAGCCCTGTCCTAGCACTGACCTTTGGATCGACAGATACCATCAGTTCCTGTCTTCATTTCAATGAAGCATGGTGTATGTGTAGTATTAACTCACTCCGTAGCTAGCAATGCTCGACTTACACTAATATGGGAAATGTGTTGTCTGGGCTATATATACTTTTTTCCTTCCGTACTTGAAGTGTATGCTAGCATCCTGCAAATAGTACATTTTTTTATTTTAGAACACATCACTTTACCAGGGAGTTACCAGAATCTAGTACATAGTCTTGAGGGACAAAGAGTTTCTTTGAACAAGTATCAACCTGACTTTATGAAATACGATCACACTTTAGTGTTCTAGCATTGCTGGGTTTTTCTTTCACTGTAAACTATTACATTGTGTCTGAAGTATCTTAATGGTATAAAACAAAAACTAATCCAGTTGTGAGTGTTGTTTCCTTTTTCTCACATTTCTGGTACTTCAGAGCCTAAAATACAGTGAGAAGAATAAACTGTATATTTCCGTGTGCCCCTTGGTTTATGTAGGATGTTTTCTTTCTTAATGTCTCTGGGGGCCTAAACTAACGCTCACACATCTTAGTAGTGTGGCTTTTGTCTGTTCAGAGCAGGGAGGACTTGAGGCTGAGGTAAATGAAGCCAGCTGTTCAAAGCAGCCTGCCCGCCCCTGAGAAGACAACACCCAGCATTGGCTTTGAGTCATGATGCCCGTCTCCAGGCTCCAGGGCTTCCAGCCACACTTCCCTCCCCACTTCACCCCCCCCCCATGTCTTTTAGCAAGATTCTTTCATCCCAAAAGTAGTGACTCAATATGTTACAATTTGATTTCCAAGTACCAAGAGCCGACTAATTTAGACTTCTACTTTAACTGGCATGAAAAGCTTTTTTTATTGGAAGTTACTAGAAAATATTTCCCAAAGATGCCAGATGACTGCCATGCCCTAACATTCTTTTTCCTCTCCACACTTCAGATATGAGTCTGAAAAGCTACAGGAGGAAAATTCTATTTTGAGAAACGAGATTACTACTTTAAATGAAGAAGACACCATCTCTAACGAGAAATCAGAGGCGTTCAATGGATCTCAGGAGGAACTGTGGTAAGGCACAGAGAGCGTCCTTGAATTTTCCAAGGACTGAGCACTATTGACCTTCAGTGTTAAAAGCTTCACTCCTGAGTTGTGTTCTCCTTGCCCCTGTAGGCAGAAAATAGAAACTGTAGAACAGGAAAAAGCTTCGATTCAGAAGATGGTAGGAAAATTGAAGAAACAGGTAAGGAAACACTTCAAATTTCCCAGTGATCTTGACTCTGGAATTTCCTTTTTTTAGAAAAAATTTGAAATTTACAAAAATGAACAAATAGATTAGAAGAATAATATATTGTGTGTGATGGTGAGGTTGGCAGGGGAAACTCACCTCAGGGTGGCTCTAAACTAGGCTGCTGCCTTTGGAAAGTCATGTGTAGAATATGTGCAGACCCTAAATGCTAAATGCAAGCTTTATATCTAAAACACATGGGAAGGTAATGCCTTTAACCCACAAATACTGGTTTTAGCCTTTATTAATTTCGATTAATGTCAGCTCCTTTATTTTTCTGATTAAAAGCAGAAAGTTTCAGACAGAATTTCACAGATATAGAATGCCAGCAAATCTGCATATCATTTTACAGACTTATAGCTCATTCAGATGGCTTCTGCCATTCCATGCTCATTTGCTATAATCTTACAACATGTACTGCAGTATGGGAGGCCTATTTAAGAACATAGTCTGAAATAGTCACAAGACAGGGACATACTTGGGAAAGGAATACTTTAGTCTCTGAAATAGCCAAGGTAACATCTAGAAATATATCTTGTACTATTTCAAATAAATGGCTGAGCTCAGTTGAAAAATGGGCTATAGATATAAAGGATCAATCCATAGAAGATGTAAACAAGCGTACAGGTTGGCCAGCTTCAGAAATTTAGATAGTTTAGTTTTCTCACCTTCTAAACTAACAAAAACTAATCTTTGATACCATCCAAGAGTATGAGGAAATAAAAACTACATTGTTAAGAGTAAGCTGATAGCACCAATAGGAAGACTTTTGGGGTCTTCTGTCAAGGCATTAATGTATTTGCTTTCTTTCTAACCCAGCAAGGCCATTTCTAAAGAAACCCAATGAAACAAACCCAGATATGCCACCATTTAGTTGTTAATAATAAAAAGAAATGATAATGACAAACATATTTCTATCTATCTATCTATCTATCTATCTATCGTTTATCTATCACCTACCTATGCAGGAATGGATAATGACAATATGGGAGATCTTTTTGCATAAAATATTCTGCATTCATTAAAGGGTTTACCATATGGTGGTATCTAGATACACTAAGTTGGAAAGATAACATCTATATGCAATCATAAGTGGAACAGGCCGTCTGTTCAAACATGCAATGATTCTTTTTATCTTTATTTTTATTTTTTATTTTTTGGCAAAAGTAAGGCGGTATTGTGAATGCATAGAAAATGACCCTAGTGGTATGTGTATCCAACTACAAAGAATCAGGAATCCTGTGACCTGAAATTAACCTATGTCTAACTTTTTCATATACTTCTGAATAGATTGAATTTGTAATAATGAGCATATATTATTTTTACTATCGTTGTAGTTAAGGAAGCACACAAAGGAAAATTAAACTTATTACAGGAAAGACATACAGTAGGCTCATTCCCCACAGCAGCAGTTCTCAACCTGGGGGTCTCCACCCCTTTAGGGGGGTGAGGTCCAATGACTCTTTCACACGATTGCCTAAGACCACTGGAAAACACAGGTATTTACATTATGACTCATAACAATAGCAAAATTACAGTTATGAAGTAGCAAGGCAGATAATTTTATGGTTGGAGTCGCTACAACGTGAGGAACTGTGTTAACAGGCTGCAGCATTAGGAAGGCTGAGAACCACTGCTCCACAGGCAGAGCAGCCGGGGCAAGAAGCAGGGCTGCCCTGTGGCAAACAGCCTTGTACAGAGATCTTTATAAACTTTACATTGCGGGGGAGAAAAGTCTCTTTTATAGCAAAAGTAGGGCAGCAATTTAAAAAAAAAAAACTTATTTCAATTTTAATTAGGTTTCAGATTTAAAAATCAAAAACCAACAGTTGGATTCAGAAAATACAGAACTCAGCCAAAAGAACTCCCAAAACAAGGAAGAGCTGCAAAAACTCCATCAACGTCTGGCAGAGATGCTATGCCAGAAGGAGGGCTCAGGAGCTTGCTCCTTGGAGAGATGGGAACAAGAAAACACAGCTCTGAGGGAAGAGCTGGACCACTACAAACTGCAGGTAGGGTCTCCAGCCACGCGCAGCTTCGCTCTCTCGGGCCAGAGAAATAAAAGGCAGTTTTTACACATAAGACCTAACGATTAAACCAGTATGGTACTGGCGCGTTAATATGCACTCCAGATAAATCAGGTATATGAGGGGGCTAGAATGTCCCCCGACAAATGAAAAGTGAGTTTCGTGAAGCATCTGTAAGCTAGGAATAACACATTTGTGAATTCATCTCAGCTGTGATCAAAAAGTTTTTTTTACAAAAAAAAAAAAGATTTATGCTTGTGCCAGATCTGCACAGATTTCCCTTTTGTTGTTGTTCTTCTGCAAAGAACACAGGTAACAAATATTTACTTAGGTTTACATTGTACTACTGGAGATGAGCTGAGTCTACAAGTGAACATAAACAAGGGTTCTGTGCAAATACTGCAAATTCTGAGCCAATTTGTAAAGGACTTTTGAGCACTGAGGATTTGCAGGGAAACGGGGTGGGGGGAGGAACACTCCTTGGTCTGATTCCCCATGGATATCAAGAGTAAGTATGTGTAATTAAAGTGTTTTCTCAAACCACTGGGGTCAAGATGGAAGGGTGTTTGTTTGTTTGTTTGTTTGTTTTAAAGCACCTGAGCAAATTGGGTAGATATTTAGGAATAGATTCAGACTTCCTAGAGATAAACCCTAATGGAAGTAGAATGTAACATATAATAGATAAAACCATCCAAACACCAGGAAAACTCATGGGTGAAGTTGTCTTTAGTCACAGAAAGAAGAGATGCTGTCTCTCGGTAAAGAAAGGGGACAGGCCTGGAGAGATGGCCGGTGGTTATGAGCACTTTTGATTCTTCAGAGAATCTTTGTTTCTCAGAATGCCTGTGGTAACTCACAAACTGTCTATAACTCCAGTTCTAGCAAATCTGATGCCTCTTCTGACCCTCCTCAATGACTCCTGCACGCTAGGGGTGCACACACATATGCACACAAGACATATAAATTTAAAATAATTTTTAAAGAAGAAAAAATATAAGGACATGAGAAAAATTTGATAGCAAATTGGAGAAAAAAACAGAAACAAAGTTTTTTTAAGCTTAAAATGACCCTCAAAGTTCCAAAAAGATATTCAAAATCACTCGTAATTAGAGAAATGTACAATAAACAGTACTGGCATGTAATTCCTCACTTGAAAGATCAGTATCTATTTAAAACTACAGCAGTATGTTCTGTTGGCAAGACCGTGCTGGCAGACATTTCCATATATTGTGGTATTCATGCACTGGTACCATTCGCATGGAGACAGGTTTGGCACTACCCACCACTTACCTTTTGTCCAGCAATCTCACTTCTGGGAATTTAACCTTGAAATATCTCTGCAGCAGTATGAGAAATCATACACATGTGACTATTTATTCCAGCTTAGTTCATATCTGCAAAGTTGTACAAGCAATTGAGATGCCATGAACACAGGAGTGATTGGATTAAGTGTTGAGACTATGTCCATATTTTGGGTAGTCTTATATAACATTCAAAAGATAGGAACATCTTTTTGCCTCCATAATAGTATTCCATTGCTTTAACAAGTCTCTTTCTCCCAGAGGGGAAATTTTCTGAGGTCTCAGTTCTCAGGTCCTTTATTTCAACAGCAGATTTAACATAATACTGGCAAAAATGAGTTCTGTATCTTAAGATATAGTATGGATAAACTGCCAAACATTCAGTTAGCATTCTTGGGCCAGCTCCAAAATAAGACATGAGTACATATTAGCATTGATTGAATAAACAAACAGGGGAGAAGCAACTGCTCTTTCTTATAGTATTCTTAAAAAACATGGAGAAATAAAGGAAGAAAACAGAAAGTCATCCTTAGGAAAACCCCAAGTGATAATTATTGCAGCCTGAATGTACTGGTAGACACTGAAATGAATAACCAGAAATCCAATGAAAGATTTCAACCACATAGTACCTCTCCCGGAATAAGGTGGCTTTGCAGTAGAGGAACAAGCAAAGACATGGATCAGTCATTATTCCCATGCTATATACATGGATAGCCTTGGAAGATAATTTAATTCATTGAATAAAAAGATAAATACCATTGAGCTGATGTTACTGTTTCCTTGGATTGCCTTCTGGTGAAGTTTCCCCAGCCAATGACTATGTCTGTTATATGCCTGGGTGAAGTTTCGCCAGCCAATGACTATGTCTGTTATATGCCTGAGGTGAAGTTTCCCCAGCCAGTGAATATATCTGTTATATGCCTGATATTTTTCTTAGACTTCCACTTTAGTGGCTTCTCTGGAGGCAGAGCTTTCTGAAGTTAAGCTGCAGACTCACATTGTGGAACAGGAAAACCTCCTTCTCAAAGACGAACTGGAGCAACTGAAGCAGGTAAGCATGTGCTTCCCGAGTAGAGTGAGGAACGACATGTACTTTGGTGGTCTCCAGCCACCAAAGGCCCTTTGCACTGTGGTTGCTCAACCAGCTTACTGCTTCAAACTGAGGACCAGAGTGCAAGCGTGTCTATAAGGACTCCGGTTGCTAATTCTCTAGTAAAACAGCGTAGACTCCAAAAATTTTCTTACTATGAATCCCAACTATTTCAGTTTCAAAATTTTGTTGCTCTTATTTTCTCCCAGACAGATGAAAAAGTAACGTTAGTTCGTCTTATAAGATGGGGACTTTCTGGCTGCTGACTTCCAAAACTCTTCTTTGATTTCTGAATACCCAAAGGAAGCTGGTCCTACCTGTGTCCTTTCCCTGTGGCAGGCGTGAGTTGCCTGGCTAGGAGGATAAGATCTCCAGTGTCTTCAGAGTACACGCTCTCCCACTTAAAGTTTGACTTGTAGAGTTTGGTTTGATGTTGCCTGCTTGTAACTCCAGTACTCAGGAAACTGAGGCAGGAGGATTGTGAATTCAAGATCAGTACAGGCTACATGGCGAGGCCCTGTCTCAAAAAATGATTGTGGTTTTAGAAGGTTATTTCAGAGTTTCAAAGACTTAATTTTAAATATAGAAAAGGGTGTGCCTCAAAAAAAAACTACAAATGAAATATTGTCCAATTTTCTTTATTTTTATTATATCTAAGAATGTTTCCATTATACGAATCTTGTTTTATAATAGAATTTAGTTCTATTTATTTGTCCCACCCTCAGGTGCCATCAGATTATAAAATGCACCTTCCTACGTCTGTTCACTCTGTAAGCATAAAGTGTTTTCCCCTAAATGCCATAGCAGTCTTAACCAGGTTCACACTCCACCTGTACCGTGTGTGTTATTTGAGCCGATTGCTAGTTGATTCCCTTACCTAGTAACTGAGTAAGACCCGCAGAGCACTGGTGTCTTTGGTAACACTCCTCACAGAACTGGCACCAAACAAGTGTCTTAGAAGAATCTTTCTATGCCAGGTACAATAGGGCAGAATCTGTCTTTCCCGCCACAAATAGAAACTACATTTCCTCCCTATAAACATGCTGAAAGCTAAGGTTCACAGTCTTTCTGTGAGGTGAGAGTATCCCAGAGCCATTGCTACCAGGTTTGCTAGAATTAACTCTAGTACTCCTTCTCCCTTGTACCTTTGAAAGCATTGCCAGCTTACCCTTTCAGTGATAATGACCATGCTGTGTGGGATATATGCCGACCAGTGCTTGTGCATACCATGTGGATAAAGCCGGAGATGCTGTGAAGCATCCTACAATGGACAGAAAGACCCCTGCAGCACAGTATTCGGCCCAGAGGGTCACTAGTACCAACTTGGGTAAAACAGCCTGGATTGCATCAGCTCCGTGGAGTGGAGAGAAGGAAGCCAGCATGGTCCATTCTAATGGCAAGCTACTGGGAAATCATTGGGCTTCTCCCAGGGCAAGAATACATCGTTAGCTCATCCACATGCTGATACTCTTGTGTGATAAATACCAACCCCCTAGTTTGTTTTTGTTTTTGAAACAAGATCTTGAGGTGTAGCCTAGGCTTGCCTCAAACTTCCAGTCTTCCAGCCTCAGCCTCCCACGTTCTGAGGATTATAGGCATCTACAACCATGCCATGTACTTTGGTTTTTCTCTTCTTTCTTTTCTTTTGGAGGCAGGGTCTCATAAAGCCCTTGTTGGACTAAAAACAACTGTATGTGTAACCCTTGACCCTCTAGAGCAGGGGTTCTCAACCTGCAATACAGTTCCTCATGCTGTGGTGATCCCTGCACATAAAGTTATTTCATTGCTACCTCATATCTGTAATTTTGCTACTGTTATGAATAATAATATTTTTAGAGATAGAGGTTTGCCAAAGGGGTTTCAACGTACGGGGTGAGAATCACTACTCTGAATCCATCTCTCCTTCCAGTGCTGGAATCACCATGCTCAGCTAATTCCATGGTCCTGACTAAAATGGTTTGGAAAACATACTTTGAGTGCCTTTTAAAAAGCATGATAAAAAGAAGTGCACCGTGTCCCATGAACAGAAGTTAAGCGGATGGCAGGAGAGCAGGGTGTTACTTATCTGTGACAGTAAAATTGAAACTTAGCACCATTATTTCTCAGTATCCACTGCATCTCCCTAAGCAGACACTTCAGTAGTCAGCTAGGGACCGGTGAGAAGCTAGTTGGGAACAGTTAGTTCAAGTTAATTATAGGCTGCTAGAGTTTATACGTCCCTTGAGATACGTCCAGATAGGAAGGTTTCAGGGCTGCGCAAGCGCCCTGTTTACAAATCGCCCTCTTCAAGTTTATCGTTTAAACATAGCTGGGAGGTGATGGCAGGGCTCATTTGTTTCCTGTCTTTCAGCAGCACAGATGTCCTGACCTCTCCGACTTCCAGCAAAAAATGGCTAGCATTCTAAGCTACAACGAAAAGCTGCTGAAGGAGAAAGAAGTTCTAAGCGAGGAATTAAACAGCTGCACTGATAAGGTAATAAGAACAATAGGTGTTCTCGGCATTGTGGAGTGCACAAGCACGGCCCATAGATAGGGATGTGGCCGCTGGGCTTCCTGTGTTAGTCCACAGTTATAGAGGGAGTTCTGTGACCCTAGGCCTAGTGGAGTCGAGATCATGGTGTTGTCTCACTTAATATATCGTGATGCTCTTTGGCATATAATATATAAAGCATTGTGCTACATAATAGAAATACGGCTTTGCTCCTCTGAGATTTAATTCATAGACAAACACTATTTTTTTTTTCTATATTTCACCAGCGTTACAAAGATGTGGCTTTCCTTGCTCTGCCTGCCTCACGGGCCTTCTTTATTTTCCTGTTACAATACACTCTTGAGATTTCCAATTGCCTTCGGCCCACTTCCTGCCCCAAAATAGAGACGCTGGGGGGGGGGGAGGGGTAGAAAACGGAAACCCCAACAAGGAAGAGAAGCATGACATTAAGTTGGACAGAACCAGGAAAACCCCACCCCTCACACCCTCCTGGGTCTGCTCCTTGAGGCAGATAGGCTGGTCCTTGATGGTTGTGGTGGACCCTCCCATCCCCCACCCCATTCCCTACCCCACCCCTGCCTACCCTGTTCCTCGAGGCAGAGAGGCTGGCTCTTGATGGTTGCGGTGGGAACTGGGACCTGGGTCTGGATTTGCTTACAAAAATGTTCTCCCGCCCCTTTCTTCCCTTCCTGAGACAGTTGGCAAAGTCAAGCCTTTTAGAGCACAGAATCGCTACAATGAAGCAGGAACAGAAGTCCTGGGAGCAGCAGAGTGAGACCTTGAAGTCACAGCTGGTGACCTCCCAGGAAAAGGTGTGTAGACAGTTCTCGCTGCATCTCCATGATCAGTATTGTCTGGTAGTTCTAGTACAGTCACCTTCCACAGAAAGGCCCAGAATGTTCCAGAGGACACTGGCCCAAGCGGCCTGAGAATGATCCCTTGGGACCTCACCTGCTTTACACTGTGCTAAAATAATTTAAACAGTGTGTCCCTCAAAGCCCAGGGACTGAAAACTTGCTTGCTAGGAAGGTTTAAGGGGAGGACTAGGAGAGACCAACTACTGGCTGGTAACTTAGGACCGGACTTCTAAAGCAAGTCCGTGTCCCCTTACACTGGAAGTCCCAGACTGCTACCTGCCTTTTACAAATTTATAATGAATTGAAATGAAATACATTTGAGATACTAGAGTAAAGCAGAATTCTCCAAGTAGAAATGATTATTTCCAACCAAAAGGTCCTCTACAATCCATCACCTCAGACTCAAATGTAATTTCTCAAGACTCACCGCAAGCTTGCTTGGCAATGGCAGCTGGCATCCTCGGTTCTGGCCCCAGACCCTGGCAGTTGATTAGATAACAAATCAGCAGTATCTGCTTTATCTTTTTCATAAGTGTAACTGAGCATCCTGTACATATATGCAACATCTTGAGTTTCCACTGAATCACTGGACTGAGAACTTGGATGTAGCAAGGGGCCTTGGCCTATTGTTTATCTTCCTGGACATTCGAGAGGTGAGACCTTGAATGTCTGTGTCACCACAGACAATTGTTCTTACCATGCAGGTTCAGAATTTAGAAGATATCCTGCAAAATGTAAACCTTCAGATGTCCCAGATTAAATCAGACCTCCAGGTGACTCAGCAGGAGAAGGAGGCTTTGAAGCAAGAAGTGATGTCTTTACGCGCACAACTTCAGAACGCTTGTGACAAGGTCATTTCTTTTTTTTTAATTATGCTATAAATTATTTTAGTATATAACTTGATTGCTTTTCTATATATGTATGATAATGTTTTTTAACACATAGGTTTTTTTTTTGTGTTTGTGTAGCCACTACCAGGAATAACTAGTAAAATATTTGTGTCTGTACCCTTTTGTCCCCCTCCAGTTGATAACCCCAGGGACCCAGTTTTGTATTATCTGCCACCGTAGGTCAGGGGTGTTTGCTTCTGAACCTCATATAAATGGAATTATCGTGGTATAAAAGAGGGTATTTTTTTTTTAGACCAAAGAAGCTAAAAGACCATAGCTAAGTTGAGTTTTATAATAGTAAAGCCAAAGCATTTTCAAGAGCATGCATGGGAACCTGCAAAACCAGCCAAGAAAAACATTAAGAGAAATTAAGCAAGGAACACCCATCTCCGGGGGGTGGGGGCGTTAAAACTACAGAAAAGGAAACCTAGCCTAAGACAATGGTGCTGACTTAGAAGGCGAGTCCCCACTGCCAAATGGTTTGCCTCTGTGGTAACAGAAAGTCTAGGAAAAGCTGTTTAAAAATAGCCTTCCTGGTGTTGTTCGAAACACACCTCATTTGAAATATCACAGAGTTCCTAATGTGCACACACATCATTAGAACATTCCAAAGGCTCGTAGATGTTAAGATTTTGTTCTATAATAAAAATAGGCCCCAGTTCAGTTATTTTTTTTCTCTTGATTGATCGTACTTTTAAAAAAAAGATTAAGTAGTTTTCAATTTTTAAAATTCCTAGGGACTGACCTTTAAACTTGGTTTTCTCTTTCATGTTTGACTTAAAATGTGGAAAGTATTTCCAGCTGTGTGACCTTTTTAACTTTTCTGAACCTACTTTTAGGATTAAAAAAGTCACCTTGATGACTTAAAGCGTATTTCTGAATTCAGGCCTCAGTCGCTAGGACAATATGTACTCTTGGAGCCTGTGCGAAAGCGGGGTGCCATTAGCCTGTGGAAGCTCGCAGGGTGCAGTGCCTCTGAGGGCCCTGTCCTCTGTTATCTAACAGTCGTGTCTGGGTGCAAAGAGGGCTTCCCAAGAAGGAGGCGACTTCAGAACCACTGACTTCTAGACCCTTGAGTCCTTTGTAGACTAGGTCAGAATCCTTCCCTCACCTTTTCTATTTAGGTTGACTGAACTGTTCTGCCAGTGACCACATTGAACCTTTATTTAAAAAAAAAAAAATCAAAATCCAAGAGTATCATTTTCTTCATATCTGTATCTATATACACATAAGCTGAAAAAGTATTCACTAAGGATTGTCATTAGGTAAACAGGAACGCCGTCTCAAGACAGAAGCGACTGTCCATTTGCTTGTAAGTTTTTAACGCTGCAATTCTCTCTTAAGGACTGGGTCTCAGAAACAGCCACCCATGGCCAGCAGCAAAGGCTGTCCTGGGACAAGCTGGATCATCTGATGAATGAGGAACCGCAGCTGCTTTGTCAAGAGAGCAAGAGACTCCAGACAGCGGTGCAGAACACCAAAGCAGACCTCACACACTCCCGGGAGAAGGTAACTCAAAAGCCGCACACTGTTCAAAGTGACTGGCTAGATATGAAAACGAACTGCTTGATGGGGCCCAAACAGTTCTTAGGTATAGATTCAGTATCCTGTGGAGCCAGACGTCTTTTAAGGATGAATAAGTTTTCATTTGAGTTTATCTTTATATATTTAAACTATTTTCAATTTATAATAGGCAGTTCTATACTAAAATAAAACTGTTACTTTAAACCTCATATTGAAAGTCCAGACTCATGGCAATTATGACATCCGTATATACCCTGTTCAAACTGGTTAGCTGCCCGGACCAATAATAACAAAATGGCAAAATCAGACTCAGATCTTATGGATCTAGCTAACCCTTTATAAGAGAAAACATGGCGCCCCTTCTTAGAGACTGAGCATTTCAAGGTCAGAACAGTGTTTTAAAGTTTTTGGTAACCACCCAGCTGACACTTGTTTACTGTGCTTGTGTTAACCACTTAACCTTCATCAGCGCCTCTGCTGTGAAATTCCCTCAAGAATGGTGAATTTTCCTATCGATTACCTATTATGTGCAGAAATTCTGCTGTTACTGAAGCTACAGCAGGAATAGGGCAGCCACAGTCCCCATGCTCCTGGAACTTAACAGATGCAGGTACATGGGTCCAGCAGGAGCAGTCTCAAACAGTCAACAGCACTCCCCTAAAGTTCTGCCCATGACAGAGCTAAGGAACCCAGGACTGCTGCCCCCATTGCTCAACCGTTCTAGCATGCTCACTCTTGGCTCCCAGAGACTTGGCTGACCCAGAAGTCTCCTCTCATCTGTCTTGCCCTTGCCATGTTGAGTTTGTAAGCTCAACCAGATTTATCTAGAAAGGATATGTAGAAATAATTAAAAAGGAAGGAAGGAAGGAAAAGTAGGCTTTAAGAATGAAAGAGCCCTGTCTTGCTATGTTACCCAGGCTGATTTGAACATTTGATCCCCTACTCAGTCTCCTTGGTAGCTGGAACCACAGCCCTCTATCACCTTGCTCAGCTGAAAAAGTGTTTTTAATACCATGGACCCCAAGTAGTAAATAAAAGCATTCCTCATCTCCTGTTTGTTTTCCTGACTGTGTGATTATATAAGCATTTCTTCCTTTTACATTTGTTCTTACTAGGTTCGCCAACTGGAATCCAACCTCCTTCCCAGCAAACCTCAGAAACAACTCCACCAGTCATGTACTGTGAAACCCATAGAACAAGAAAAATTGACGTTAAAGAGAGAGTGTGAACAGTCTCAGAAAGAACAATCTTCTACTAGTAAGAAGGTGGGTTTTTCAAGTGTAACCATGTACCTATGTTCTGACAAGTGTGGCCCCAATGTCTGCTTCTTGCCTTGAGTGTCAGGCTTTGAACCTTCTTTACATCCCTTGATACTGCCGTAATCTTGTCAAAACAATATCATCTTTTTTAATTGAGTAAAAACCTAATCTAAGACCAAGCTTTCATAATTAATAATAAGTCTCCATGTTATTATTTGTGAGCTCGCAGCCAAAACAAAAGTCTGACTACATTTGGCACCCAACATGGGGTTGTGTAGCATCCCTTATGAAAGAATTTTTCACTGATATATTTAACAGGCTGGGAATTATTATAGGTAGGCACTGTGAAGGCAGATTTTTCCCTATTCTGTTTTTGTAAAGGTATAGTTAAAAAAAATATCTTTTAAATCAATCACTATAATAGATCATACTTTAAGTAATAAAGAAGGCAAGGCAATTCCAGGCTGTAAAGAGCCCATTGGTTGAATCACCTTATTTATGGCTCTCAAATCTGTTAACATTCTCCATTTCCCAGATTACAAATTTAGAGAATTCCAAGGACTGGTTGATTCTTCAATATGTTGAGCATTTAGCTGCTCCTAAATGTTCAAGTGTTCAGCTGTTCTAGTGCCCGTAATTTTTCTGATGTCAAAGGCCATTGTTTCACCCACACAGGTTTGTCGGTTAATCATTTTAAAGGTAGGGCTGTTGATACCTTTGAAAGACCAACAGCTGTTTTGCCTGCTTATGTACAACCTGAATGGTCTGTAACCATTCTTGCTAATACCTTGCAATATTTTTCTCAGAAGGTTTTTTTATTTTATGGTTTGTTTCTGAGGTTCAAGGAATGTTAATCTGTGTTTTCCATTTCTGCAACAAATCACATCCCCATAAATGTTTTGCTTTGTTGGCCACATATAAATTTAGTTTTCCTGTCTGTCCTTCTGGTCCTGTTCATTCAACCCATCTTGCACTTTATTTTACCTAAAAGTAAAGTTCCAGTCCCTAGAAGTTGAATATTTGCCTCCTGAAGAGGTCAATCTGGATGCCAAGATTTTGATGAAATTGTGCACCTAGATTCATGCCAAGTTCCTCTCTCTGCCTGGAAGTCCTGCCTATTCTCTCCTGCCTGGCTATTGGCCATTCGGTTCTTTATTAAACCAATCACAGTGACACATCTTCACACAGTGTTAAACAAATATTCTACAACAGTGAGTCATGGGAGTGCTAATGTGATTTTACAAAGCTTCTCTGAGGGAATTAAGAAGCTGGAAAATTCCTTATCTCCCAGTTAATGTTTGATAAATGTTTGAAAACAAATATGCATCTAAACTAGAAAGAATTTACTTAGAAAGTCACAAGGAATAAGTTTTTATTTTTATTTTCCACTCTTAATTAAGAAATCAAATGGGTAAGAGCAAAGATGATATTTCTGAAAAAGATTGTTTATAAAGCCTTAAAGATTAAATATTAGTAGTGATAGACAATATAAGATTGTGTGAGTAGAAAGCTGGGGTCATGCTGACTCAGGGGGAGGGGAAGAGCTGTATATTCTTAGGTGTTTTTCCAACTAAGAATGCACTTAGAACTGATTGCACACATGCACTTGTGGGCATGGCTACTGTGTTTTGGGGTAATGTGTGTTTCTTGCAGTGGGTGGTAGAGAAGTTTAAAGCCAGCTGCCTCAGAAAAATCTGGTCTTTGTGAGACCTGACTGTTAAATCCAGATTGCTTAAAGGCCAGCTGTGCACCAATTGTTGTTTGCTGGTTTTCCTTGCTGAATTATCTTGGCTTTCTTCCAAAATTAGAGATTTCTTAACACAAATTTATCAAAATAAAAGACAGCAACTCGGGGGCTGGAGAGATGGCTCAGAGGATAAGAGCACTGGCTGCTCTTCCAGAGGTCCTGAGTTCAATTCCCAGCAACCACATGGTGGCTCACAACCATCTGCAATGAGATCTGTCACCCTCTTCTGGCGTGCAGGTATACATGGAGGCAGAATGTTGTATACATAATAAATAAATAAATCTTAAAAAAAAAAAAGACAGCAACTCATATGTTTTTGTCTTTTTAAAGCGTTTTGTTTTTTTTGTTTGTTTGTTTGTTTTTGTTTTTGTAATAGGTTGGTCAGATGAGTTCTCTTGAGCGAGAATTAGAAACAATCCACTTGGAAAATGAGGGTCTGAAGAAGAAACAGGTGAGACTGGACGAGAAGCTAATGGAGGTGAGTTGAGTAAATGACCACAACCAGAGAAGCCTGAGGGCCATTTGTTAGGACGGACTCGACGTGGCATTGAATTCCTGTCATGAAAGTCTAATTGCCAGACTTAACTCTTGGGTCTCTCTTCCCAAAATGAACAGACATGTTTGCTTCATTACAGTTACAGATATCTGTACTGTTTTGCAGAATAAAGGATGACTTCAGCCTCAAATATACATCAATATTCACACATCAATATACATATACACATACATCAATATACAATATACAAACATACATCAATAGCCCCAGTATACATCAATAAATGTGGACCACAGGAACCCTGCCTGACACTGTCTGAGGGGCCCCAGCTCTCTTGTCATTGGTGTCTATGCGACAGTTCCCTGACATAGTCTGTCTTGCAGTGTTTTATGACATAATCTCCCTCTCTCCACCTGTTCAGATGTATGTGGAGATCCGAGGACCTCGGTATTTAGGTTTCTTTTCGGTAACCACCGTCTCGGCGTAGAGAACCCAGTGGTAGAGTGCTTGCCTTGCATCGCTGGGTTGAATTCCCAGGGTCCATGGCTTCTGGCTACACTCGTAACCCAGTTCTGCCTTGTGAAAGACCCACCTGACAAACGTGAAGCTGATTTAGAAAAGTCACCCCTGTGTGTCTGCTGGGCCCAGGAACCACAGCTCGCTTTCATGTGCTATTTTAAAGGAACTCATTGAGCTGCTTTGCTGTAGATGAAAAATGAATCTCATATGAAATGAACTATAAAATCTGTATAAGGAAGTGTTCATAGAATTTATCTTGCTATGTTCTTAAAATACCGTGTGCACACATTTTGGTTTTTCAAGGCAGAATTGGTGGAAGGAAGGAAGGAAGGAAGGAAGGAAGGAAGGAAGGAAGGAATTGCAGCATTTTTTATATTTATTTATTTATTTATTATTTTGTTTTTTTCAAGACAGGATTTCTCTGTGCAGCCCTGGCTGTCTTGAAAATCACTCTGTAGACCAGGTTACCCTCAAACTCTGACATCTGCCTGCCTCTGCCTCCCAAGCACTCAGTGCACCACCAGACCTGGCAAAGTATTTTCTTTATAAAGCTAGATATATGGCAAAGTGGCTTTAATGCTTAGCTTTAAAACAATGTGAAAGGGTGGGAAAACATGTCACATTGACATTTAAATGGCCACTGAGGTGTCTTACAATTTTATGTTCTCTAGTTTATCCACTAGTTGGGGGCATTGGTGAAACCGTAAATAGTGACATCTAAACTGTTTTCTGACAGCATATAATAAGTATATTAAGACTGAGTTCAGCCTGCGCGTTGATGTAGATATGCTTTTCTGATGAAATAATTGTGGACTTTAATGAATCTATCTGAAGCCGAGCTCCGTGTGTCTGGTGAGAAACTGAAGGGTGACAGGGTATGTGTACTTCCTCACTGCTGGGCTCTTGCAAATGCTCAGCCAGTAAGCTGGTTCTTCTCCTCTTTGCCGTAGCCTGGGAAGCCCCCTTCTGCCGGGCCCCAGTTTCTATTATTAATTGTCATCAGCCATTTCCTGCCATTCTTTTTCCATAGTGGCAAATATTTGCTGGTAAGGAAAACAAGTGTTCCTGGCACCGGAACGGAATAAGGAAAAAGCCTGAATTTAAACACTGAAAAGAACATTTTACACACTCTTCTAATGAAACTCTGATTAGGAAGCAAGAAGCAAGACTGGGCTACTAACCCTACAGTTAGATGGACTGGATTTTTTTTTTCTGCTTTACTTTTCTGAGATGGGATCTAGCCCCGCAGCTCAGGCTGGTCTTGAACTTACAGCCCCTCTGCCTGAGCTTCTCAATGTTGGTACTTGAGGCACACACCAGCACAGCTAGTTCCAGGGGGGATTTTTAACAGCTCTTTGGAGGTAACTCACAGGCTGCACAATTCTTACATTAAATTATACAGTTGCACTTGAGGTATATTTTTACTTCTTAAACTTTGGGGACATGGATGTAACAACTTTGCAGCTTCAACCATTTTTAAGTTTCCAATCCAATGGCTTTAATGAAATTTGCTGTTTCTAAAGCCTTTCATAGCTCCCAACTCTAATTCTTCAGCACTAACCGTTCCTCCCACCAGCCTGTTGGGTGGGATTGCAGTACGGTTGTATGGGGGTGGTGGACAGTGGCTTTCAGGCTGCCTCTTGTCTCCTCCCGAGGGATCTATGTATCCCTTCCTCGCTGGCAATGCTCCCTCTGGGCAGGGTTGAGGGGTGATGAGCAGACATGGAGGTGTTCCTGTAACAGTCCTTGGGGCCAGGGACTTTGAGAAAGGCTTTCTAAATGGTTCTTATTTGATACACTTACTTCATCGGGAGAAGTTTCCCTCATCTCTGCAGACTAGTTTTAAGGGTCCAGTGTAATTAAAGATTGCAAGTTACTAGACTGGCAAATGGAAGGATTTTGACCTGAAACTGACTCCCGTTCCTGGACTTCTTCAGCAACACTGTAGTTGAATATTCAGTGAGCACTTTATTTTGAGCATTCAAAGAAAGCTTCGGAGACTGCCTTTGCTGGCCTTTGTCTGCCATGTCACTTGGCAGACTTGAACAAAAAAGATGCTTTCCTTCTGCGTGCCCATGGGACAAGGGACTTCACCAGAGATCCTGTGCTTCCTGGATCTGGGGATGGGGAAAGCTGGCAGGTTCCCAACCAACCAGATGCCAGCAGGTGAGAGTGCAGCTGCAGAGTTCCGGGTGTAAGGTCCTTTACTGTAAAACTGACACACAGCAAAAAGTGACTTTGGTTGCTTGTACACTCTTATGTGTGTGCACAATCTGCCCGTTCTTTCTTTTGGTGACTTGCACTTTTCTTCTTCCTCCTGTAACCCTAGTAATTTTCTTCTCTTTTTGTTTTGTCTGTGGCTAACCTCTACCTAGAACTCAGTGGTTGGAAGTAGCAGAGAAGGGTGCAGTTCTATGCCCGAGCTAGTGTGCGAAGGTAGAGCATTCTCTTCCGGTGAACCGTCATAGCATGGGACCATCTCGACATTGTGTCCACCCTCATCTCTGTTGATTATGACCATTGATATGTACTTGGGCAAGAGCCAGTATCCGTTTTTCATTTTACTTTAATTGGAATATTACTTAAGGATTTTCTTTTTCTACTTACTTAAGGATTTTCCTCAATACTTAAAGCGTTATGAAGAAAACTGTCCCGCTGACAAAAACTCGTGGGATCATAGTCCCTCATAGCCTTTATTCGTAAATCGTGTTCTATCGTCTACAACTAACTATAATATTTCAAAGTGGCAAATGACCCAACTCAGAGATTTAGAGTTAAGCAAATGGATATTGGCTCTGAAACCTCACAACATTTAATTAGGATTGAATGTGGAAGGTCCTTTCCCTTCCCACAAGCCTGGTGCTCCCTCCCCAGGTTACTTTCTGCTCATGCGTGTTGCATGCCTCCCATTGGGCCCTGTGCCTGCCGAATGTGTGATGGATGAAAGTAGCATGTTCCATTGGCCAAAATGCGTCCTTTCCGACTTCTTAAACTTGATTGGCATGTTGATACACTGTTTCCTTGTTGTTTCCAACAAATACTTTGAGTCTGGTTCTGGGGTGTTCTGGGTTATGACCTTCTGTCCCACGCTTGCCTATCCTGTTGCTGTTGAAGGGAATAACCATAACAACACGTAGATAAAACTAAGAGCCTGAAATTTAGGTATGATATTCTTTTTAAAGTGTTGATTTGGGGTCAGAAGATAGGTAGCCAGTGACTAGTCACCTTTAAGAAACTTCATGGTAAGGGAAATAGGGAAAGCTTAAAACCACGCCACCCTCTCCATCTTCCCTGCTCCCATCTCACTTTGAACAGAAGGAAAAAGGCAGTTCTAGAATGTTCTAGAATCAAAAACTTAGATGTAATTTAAATGTGCTATGTATATCACGTACCTCATGCCCTTATGGTCACTTGGGAGTGATGGATGTCTATTCTTTCAAGTTTAAAAAATTGTTTAAAAAGCCTGGTCACATAGTGTATTATCTCCAAAAGGCAGCGAAAGGGCTCTACCCACGCACTTCCCCTGGGCTTTGTCCTGTTTCTAAGTGATCAGGCACTAGGAGGCCATGAAGGGGCTCTGGACTCTGCTCCCTGCTTGTCACGTTCCTTGGCAGAAGGCCCTGCACTGACCAAGCTTTGTCCTTGCCCTTCAGATGCAGCCCCTGAAGTCCACTGTGACGCTTAGCCCACCCTCTCACTGGGATCTGCAGCTGCTTCAGCAGCAAGCCTGTCCGATGGTGCCCAGGGAGCAGTTTCTGCAGCTTCAACAGCAGCTGCTACAGGCAGAAAGGAGAAGCCAGCACCTGCAGGAGGAGCTTGACAATAGGACCTTGGAAACCAACACACCGCAGGTACAGAGCGCTTCTCCTCCACGGAGAAACCAAATCAGCCGCTTTGCTTTACCTTCATTAGAAAAAACAGTGCGGAGGTGGGGATGCGGAGCTACATCTTCCATCGCTCTTCTGCCTTCTCTGAGCTGCAGAGTCACAGAACCACAGCCTGGCATTCGCTTTGGTTTGACGGTTTCCTTTCAAGCTCTCTGCTTGTGACTCCTTTGCACATTGGTACTTGACAAAGGATCAAGGGTACTTGTACATAGTACACAGTTGTCCTAATGTTCTTGCCTGATGCCTAAAATGTCACAAACTCAGTCCTCGGGTAGGAATCTCTGCTGACACACATCCTCAGTCTTCCTGTACAGTGTCACCCGCCAAGGTCTGTGAAACTCACAAGCAGGGACTTTTATAGAATGTGTAGTTGTTAGTGTCTGCTCTTAGTTATCCAGTTCATGTCACTCAACATTGGAAAGAATCAAGTGTGAAAAACCACTTAAGTTCCAAATAGTTTTTTCTCTTTAGGGCTTTTATACATAATCTTCATTTTTCAGAAATTTCCTTTTTTTATTCTTACCCATTAAATTAAGTTGTAATTAAGGGTGAGGAAAAAATCTCGTCTTTATATATCTAAGTCGATTATTTCTAGTTTAGAAATACCTATGTCCCAGTTAGTGTTTGATAAGGAATTTTCCAGTTTCTTGGTTCCCCCAGGGGAGCAAGTCACATTAGAACTCCCCGTGGGCCCCTCGGCTTCTTCTTCTTAGTAGATAGCCGTGTGTGCTGTGCTTGTGTGCTGTGCTGTGCTGTCCACTTCTGTCACTCATTCTTCTTAACAAAACCTTCAAAAAGTCTTTTTATTAATGTGCTGGGAGCTTTCTATATACCATTTCCCCTCCAATGTTAGAGTCAGCTTCATAAATTAAGTCTGCTGGGCTGGGCTGGGCTGTGCTGTTAAAGAGACGTTCCAGCTCTCCACGGAACGCTTCAGCTTCTCAGCATTAAAGTGAAATTTTAGAGCAGAAACTGCAGTGGTTGAGTATGGAAGCGAAGTCACAGTTTCTCATCGGGTAGCTGAAATCTGAAACCCTGGCCTCTGCTTTTGAAAAGACCTTCTAGTTATTTGGCAAAGATGTGCTCTTGCCTTCCCATACACCCTGGTTTTAAAGTCTGCTTTTCCTAATCTGCCCATCAGTCTTAGAGAATTTTAAAAAAATGTCTTGTACCAATAGCTCCAGTATTAGACAGAAGCTATTAAGGAAAAAAAATGGTAATCCTTCAGCCAGAGGAAAGAGTGGACTATTTATTACTCGAAGTGGAATGGCCTCCAGGCTGCTCCTTTTCCAGTTGCTGAGCTGACTCTAATTTTAAGAACCCTCCACATTACACAGATCTGGGCAGTGCCTGTGGATGGGAGGGAGGGTTTTCATCTGTCCTTGTGTTAATTTGCTTGCACGCGTACTGTGACTGTGTGTGCTTCTGAGGATGTGTTTGCATTTTAAGCTTGTGAACTTAGACTCCCCTAAATATAAGCCCTACTCTTACCCCAGGGTGAAGTGTACCCCTTGCCTTCTTTCTCTAGGCCTTGCTACCGGAGCAGCGAGCAGTGCATGCAGATTCCTACAGAAGGATTGGGCACCTCTGAAAACTGGGCTGCTATTGATGCCATTTGTTACCATGACAGAGCCTCAAATGCACACACACGCGCACACACACCCCACACAGACATGAGCTGGGGCATGTTGGAACCAAGGGCTCTTTTGAATTATTCTGCTGTTATTCCCACTGTTACAAGCTCACAGTACTGTCTCCTATTTATGTAGATCTGGGAGACTCTGTGAGTCAATCACAAGCTTCAGCTGGTTACAAACTGGTTGATTTAAGATTCTTAGGAAGGATATAGTCAATATATTTTCTCATTCCATATGTTGTAATTTTTTAAAAGAAGGTACTACTTTTATATATGGAATTTGAAGAAAATCAGGGTTATTTATACTGTTTTGTATAAGATGTATCATACTTTTTGACAGAAAAAAATTTTTTTGATGCAACAATAAAGTAAAATTTAAATATATGACTGTCTTCTTTGTTTTTCTTCTGCCTTCCTCTTTGCAATACTCAGTGTTCTTTGACTTATCTGATACTGTGGTTTTCTATTTTGCTTTTTTGAAATAAGCATTATTCATTATGCATAAATATTAAAAGGCCAATATAACTTTTTTAAAAGCCAGACACCCAAGGCCCTATTTATTGAAATTTACTATTAAGCTTTGAATTTGTCTTCAAATTGACTATGTGATTTAGTGCTATTATTTAAATCCAAGCAAATAATGGGTTTCAACTCATGCTTGAGCATCCTACATTCTTTTCAAACTATGCCTTTTAAGAAACTGTTAGCTGTCACCCAACTGTTAACACCTGAATCACAATAATAATAATTAGTAATAATAATCTTAAGGATCTGAAGTACCTTGTGAAATATGAAATTTCTGGTGTGGACATTTTTGTAAGGGAGGGTATGGGCAGTCTCCTCTCTCGCGCGATCTCTTTGCTTCCTAAACTCAGGTTCTCCTTATCCCATCCTTGTTGCATGAGAAGGAGAGGAAAGGCCAGTCCTGTCCTGTGGTTTTATCTGGGTTGGATGTCTGTGAGATTTTTCATTTTGACTTTGCATTGATGATAAATGCATCCTCTAGTGAGATGTTTGCTTCCCAGCCACAAGTCATTGGGATGAGGAGGGGAACTGGCAGGAAGAATCTAATTACTCTGAAGAAAAAGCTAACCTTGGCCGGTCACCAGTCATGCCAAAGGGAAAATGAGAGGCATGTGTTGCAGGCTGACTGGAAACATTGGGCAACCAGAAACAAACCCAGTGTTTGCGATGCTCAGAGGCCCACAGTATTGCAGAGACCCATGGCACAGTGGGAGGTCGGCCACTGTGGTTTGGTTTGCCTTGTATACTCACTGTATTAAGAGTACACATGGATATCCATTATGGGTTTTAGGGAACAGTAGTACGACAGGTAAGAGTCTTTGCTTTTTCTTTGACTCCTCTGTGATAGGACTCCTTTTCTAGCATGGTCAACCCATGCAATGCCCAGAATCCCCATTTCACTAGAAATCTGTCCTGGTTACGAACATCAGCCGTGGTTTCTCTAGATCCCTATGGGGAGAGGAACTCCCTCAAGTTAGGGGTGACTTTCAAATGATGATACACTCTTTCTCCCTCTTCTCCTTAGGGAAGCCAGGAGCACCTTGTCAATCTCATGGAGGGACGAATGATAGAAGTGGAGCAGAAGCTGAAGCTGGTCAAAAGGCTTCTTCAGGAGAAAGTGAATCAGCTCAAAGAACAGGTCAGCCCCCTTGTCACCTCTGCCTGTCTTACAGTCCAGTTTTTTGGGGTGTGTAGGGTGTGTGTGTGTGTCTGTGCATGAGTGTGTATGTGTGCATCTGTGACTGTGTGGGCGTGCATATATGTGTGTGTGTCTGAGTGTATGCATGCATGCGTGTGTGTGAGTGTGTATTTATGCATGTGTGTGTTTGTGCGCACCTGTGTGTGAGTGTGTGTGTGTGCATGTGCACCAGAGACCAACCTCAAGTGTTAATTCTTCGGGAGCTTTTCCACCTTGTTTCTGAGAAGACCTGGGTCTCTCTAATTAGGCTAGGCCTGTGTTGTCCTCAGCACAGGGGTTACCACTGTGCACACTCACTGTGCCCAGCTTTTTTTGTGGGTGCTAGGGATCAAAGTCCCCATGCTTACTCTACCAGCTGAGTTGTCTCTCCAGTCCCAACATTCCAGACCTAACTCCAGATTTTGTATCCTCCTTTTTTGTTGGCCTTGAACACACAGAGATCCATCTGCCTCTGCCTCCCAAGTGCTAGAATTAAAGGCTTGTATCCTTCTATTGCTGTTAAGTTGTGTTGTTAATGAAAGTTGATTCTGCTGAAAATGTCTAGAGAGCTTAGGAATCACTTTCTTTTAAGCCTCAAAATATGAAATCTGCATTCTACATTTTTTTACTAAAACTCTTTTGAGGCCTGTTTGTCCACAATTTTTTAAACGTAAATTTGTGTACGGTGGCTCATATCCAAAGTGCACCTAACAAAGTTCAGTGGCTCAAACCAGATACTTACAGTTTTTTCCAAGATATGAAATACACATCTCTAAATAAATAGAAAGTGATCCATTCACTTTTTAAAATGGGGTAATAATGGAACGCTGGCTTTCCTGTTCCCAAAAGCTTGTGGCAACCTCAAAAGGTACCTTAGGGCTGATAAAATGGCTTGGAAGGTAAAGCTGTTAACCACCATGCCCGGCACCTGAGCTCAATACCTGGAACGCATGTGGTTCTCAGAAGTTACCCTCTGACTTCCCTCCTGTTAGCCCCGAGACCTTAGCACAGATGGAATGAGATCCTTCTGGTTCTGTCCTAGCTCTGCAGGAACACGAAAGCCGACGCCATGGTGAAGGACTTGTATGTTGAAAATGCCCATCTGTTGAAAGCTCTGGAAATGACCGAGCAGCGGCAGAAAACGGCAGAGAAGAAGAATTACCTCCTAGAGGAGAAGATCGCCAGCCTCAGTACCATCGTCAGGAACCTGGCGCCAGCGCCCCTGGCTTCTACGCCTCCTTTGAGGTCATAGCCGTACCAAAGGATGCACCTGCGTTTGTCTACTGTCCTGACATCCTTGGAACACTTCAGTTCGTTCCCCGAACCCTCTGAAAACTTTCAATGGCTTCTTGTCAAGCCTACCCGAAGTCTGCTCTGCCAGCAATGGAATCTGAGTCTCCGAATGAATGCTTAGAGGAACTCCATAAATGACATATTTCACTATTTAAATTACCCACGAGCATTAAACTTTTAAAGTATGCTCTGGAGAGCTACCAAGAATGAAAATAATTTTAAGTACTTAAAACGCCAGTTTTTAATGGGTTTTAATTGCTATTAGCTGTATATACAATCCAGATTCCCTTTAAGTTTGAGATCTAGCTAGAGTGGTTATTATATTATTATAATCTTTATTTTTGGAAACATTTAAGTACTGTAATAATTATGCTTATACTAGTTTTGTTTCTTCGAATTAATTGGTGACTGCAGTTCTGCTTAAAGAAGGCTTGGCCAGTAGCTAGACACTGAGGTCAGAAAAGCCCCAGTTTTGTAAGATTCTGGCTTCTGGCGCCTGTTCTCACCGCTCCTGCTATGTAATAGATTCAGAACTGACTTGCTCAGCTGTACTCTTTACTGAGGATAAAGTCTTACTTTATTTATTAGCCATTTCTCCTCCTCTTAAAGCTTTTTGTTTGGGACCTTGTGTTCTTAAAAATGGATAAAACTGCATTTTTAAAACATTTGAACTATGGGAAGACCACTGAACAGCCCACTTTGGAGTAAAGCGCCACTCTTGGAAGACAATTACCTGGGTGTGGGTGTGGTTTCCTCTCTCCCAAGCCTTGGAGTTCACAGAACTTTGAGTTTGCGTCAAGAGCTCAGGGAACAATTTCTAAGCTGTCTTCCTGAACTTCTTACTGCCCAGCCTCTCTAAGAATTGGAGTTGTATAAACCACGTGACCTTATTTGTACTATATATCAACAGCCATAGAATTCTTATTTCTCTATTTTAGTGCACTTAATTATCTGGAAAGGCCTTGACTTCAGAGTTAATAACCTATCCAAGTTATAGAAGAGTTTTTACTGTTTGTTTAATCCAGGTCAGGAGTCTCCTGCTTCTGGCCCCTTTGATACCTCACTTCTGAACATCTGAATTTCATACTGTGGAGAACAGTGGCATGCCATCCGAGGTGGAGGAGCAATAATGGGACTTTGCATTTGTTCTCAAGGTCTAGGCTTAAAGAACAATAAACCTTTTTAAGTACACACACACACACACACACACACACACACAGTGGTTGGTGGAGGACTTACTAGTTGCAGGACACTACCAAAGCGTTTTTCAACTACCTTCCTGTTTCCAAGGGGAGAGAAATGAGAATTTCATGTTATTAGAGGTACAAGAGAAAAGTAAACCATCACACATGGGCAGGAACACAGGATAAGTCAAATAGGCTGAGACGTCAGGTGATGTGAGGCAATCTCAAGTCATTTCCATTGCGACTCTTTAGGATTCCTTGGGGCCCAACCACCTAGTCTACCAGCTCAGGGCTGCTCTCCAGGGCTCTGGCGTGGCACACACTGTCTGTGGTCCAATAGTTCACACTGGTTTTGCACTATTGCTACTATCAGGAAGTTCCAATTTTCCACAGGGAAAGAATCCTTCCCTGTTAAACATCTAAATATTTGGCATCTGGTATTAACGCTCCTCTACATCCTTCTTCTCAACTACTTGTATGGCCTTAGCTTTATTTAGTTAAAAAAACAAAAAACCTCACTTGCCTAGGCTAGGATCAGAGGCAAACTAGAACCTTGTGAAGTGACCTTCAGGTTCTCAAGGTCAATGCCACTGAACCGAACAGCAAGCATATTTCTCCAACGCTGGCTTGCCATGGGGTCATGTTTGTTGTGCTTTTTTATTTTTATATTATGAAAGTGTAGATTAGCGTTTCTTATAAATTTGTATTTATGTGTACATAAGGTGATGTACAATGACTGTAAATAGGACATTTAGAATTATTTTACCCAACATCAAAATGCTACTCCAGTCAAATGTTAATTTCTTGCTTTACCCTGCTTATGAAATGGGGGATAAATATAAAAACACCCTACAGAGGCCTAAGTTTATACATTTGTGCAGCAGTTTATTTTTGAGAAACCGTTTGGAGCGGGAGTTTAGCTGGCTGCTTAGAATGGCTTCAAGGTTTAAAGGCGGCAGACGGAAAATACTAGAATTCCATGTAGTTGGACTCTCAGACTTTGCAGTTGCTCTCGCCAAAATCCCAAGTTGTGTGTTTTATGGTCATTCATATGCTTGTCTTTTTCATTTTTAAACTGTATCTGAGGACAGTTCTCTAGTAGTGGTGGGACAATGCTGGACTTGCTCAGAAGATCTCCATTGTTATGCTTGCTGCTACCTTTAAAGGCCTCCTCTTTCCTTCCCCGCCTGCCCAAAGGAGAAAGGATTTATTTTATCTAAAGGCCTTTACTCTTAAAGTCAATTTGTGAAGGAAGTGAAAGAAATAGGAGCTGTGGTTTAGAATGAACCTCACTGTTTTCATTTGTTTCTCTAAAACTCTAATTCCAGCTAAGCCATGTTTAATGAGAATCCCTCCTTGAAGCTTACCTGTGCTCTTTGTGTACTTGGCCATCAGCATGCTTTTTCAAATAGATCATGAAATCATAGACTTTAAGGAAGATATCTTACAGGTTTAGTGTTTTAGCAATATCAATATTCAGGGCAGGTATTATTTTGGGGAAACTTTTTTTTAAAAAAAATACACGGAAAAATTTGTGGTTTCTCTTTTTACTTTCCTGGTAAAGGACAAGAAAACACGCTGCTGTGATCAGCATCTTTTAAAGGTATTCTGGCTGTTCTCAAGTACAGTATAAAGCAAGTGCTGTTCTAAATAGATTACTTGTTATTGAATAGCACTCCAGTGAGCCAGAAGCCAGGTCTAGGCCTAACAACCAAAGCACTCACACAGGGAAGGAAGTCAGTAGATCATGACTGGTCCTGTTTGAACATCTCTGTACTGTGAAAGCTCGATTTCTGGTATTGGACAGCTAGTTAACAGCAAGTTAAAGTTGCCTTTTTGTTAGTTCATTTGTTTGCTTACTTGCTTTTTAATTTTTTTAATGATACAAGGTAAGTTTATTCTCCCTGTGAGAACATTACCACAGCATGGTGTAAAGGAATATGAATTTTATGAAAGAAAGCAAGTTCATCTAGAGTCCGTCTCCAGAACTATATTCAGATAAAGGTTAATGTGAATATGTTTATATCAGGTTTGTAAATTTCTTCTTAGTCATTCTATCCCAGGAAGATTTTTAATGTGAACTTAAAATGTAAATAAATAATTTTGCAAATATGCCTCTGGATTTCCATGTCTTGGAGTTCGGTTGAGCCATTACAGTAAGTGAAACCATCAAAATGCTGCAGGAAACACATTCTGCAAACACAAAATCACTGCCCTACTCTGCACAGTAAGTCAGAACCATCGTTTTTCAGAAGATTCCCCAAGTGACTTGGAGAAATGATTCAGTGCTTAAGAATGTTTACTACTCTTCAGAGGGCCTGGATTCAGTCCCCTGCATCAGACAGCTCACAACTGCCTGTCACTCCAGCACCAGGAAGTCCAGTGCCCTCTTGTGGCCTCCAAGCGCACCTGCATGCATGTGGTGCACATAAACTCATATGGGTACTCATACACATAAAGTAAGCAAAACCTTAAAAAGAAGGCTCCCCCAAGTGATGTGTTGTGAATTAGAGCCCAGAGACTCATTCCCTACCTGTCAAGGAAGTGATGACGTTCATACCAGTCAGCTTGTGGTATTTGTGTTCTGTAGCAGTGGAAAGTTTACACACCATCTTAACCAGAGGCAAGGCCCTGCTTGGCATCCGGGAGACTTCAGGGATTGAGCTGTGCCACTTTGCCAACTTCATAGGTGAGTAATTCACACTTAACTGAGATGCTCATAACTGATGATATGGGTGTCATTAAACACCCCGAAAGGTAAACCCAGAGTACATTGTTAATAATCAAACACTGCCCAGCCCATGGGAGGCAGAGGCAGGTGGATCTCTGTGCATATGAGGCCAGCCTGGTCTATAGAGTAACTTTCAGGGCTACACAGAGAAACCCTGTCTTCAAAACACAAAATAAACAAACAAACAAACAAAAAAAAACACTGAAATGTAGAGTGAAAATGTTGGCCAGCCTAGACCTGTCTCAGCAAGCCCTGTTCTATTCATTGTCAACCTAGACCTGTCTCCGAAGCCCTGTTCTATTCATTGTCAAAACTCTTATATAAACTTCATACTGCTTTTATGAGGCAGAAACTATTTATCCATATTTAACATATGGGAAAATTGAAGCTTGCGAAATTAAGAATCAAGGCTACCCTGCCTACAAATAGGGAGGTCTGTATTCATGGTTCAAGATCTGCTGTTAAATTCCGACAACATAGCCAGGCAGTGGTGGTACACACCTTTAATCCCTTGGGAAACAGCAGCAGGTGGACCTCTGTGAGTGCAAGTCCAGCCTCATATACAAAGCAGGTTCCAGGACACCCTGGGCTGAGAAACCCTGTAACAAAAAACAAACAAGTAGATGATAGATAGATAGATAGATAGATAGATAGAGATCCTACGATACTTCTATCAGTTCCTACTCATAGCAGAACAATATTTAATCAGTGTTGATGCAATAGCTACCATGTAATTGTACTTTAGGAACAACAGAAGACTGTCCTGAAGAGGAATATCCAGAATAGCAAAGTATTCCAAATATTCCTCCCTAAGAAGAGCAAAGATTCCCAGTATATAGCAAACCCCACTGCCAGTCTCCACTTCACCACACCTGACCTGACCACACTGCCATCAGAGCGGGTATGACAACCACAGAGGAGGTGCTGGAGTTGTCCTACCCCCCCCCACTACTGCTGGGGCTGCCAGTAGAGCCAGAAGCCCTTACTAATGACAGAGTTGGCATCAGCTAGGCCTGAAGAAATCTCCATTGCCCATTAGAAGCCACCATGCTCTTTCGTCATACCTGCCTGAACTGCTAGAATGCCCCCAATCTCAAATATCCCCAGACTCAGTCGGTCTTCTAACTATTCCATGAGACATACTGTGCTCAAAGTCATTAAATCACAGTCAAGAAGCTACTGTAAGGCAGCACTATAGTTGTGTGACAATAACCTAAGGCTTTTCATGACATGTCTGCTCTTGGCAACACAAATCTACTTCAGAGAAGATGATGCACACTGAAGAAACTCCATATGAAATTTGTTTTCTTTCTGAAAAAAGCTAGCCACATGGGCAAAGAAACTGCCTTTGATGCAATTGCTGACAAATAGTGTCCAAACTGTACCAGCAGGATGTAAATAAAGTGATTGCCAAACTTTGTCAAGACAAGGTGGGACGTTCTTCAGTATTCCCTGCTTCACAGGAAAGTCTGTCAGATATGTTTGGTCTGAAGGCCAGAGTTGGGTGCCCCAACATTGCAGAAGATTTTTGGATGACTGTTCAGGCAGCCTGATGTCCTGTCATTAGGTAACATTTTACTCTTCTGGGGTCTTTGGCAGAGTTGAAGACTAGATAGTCATAATCATAGCTTTCCTTAATTAAGATAAAAAGATAAATTAAATGAAAAACTTTAGACTCACAAAGGAAAGAGAGATAAGAGTATTTTCTTTAATTTTGCCAAATATAAATGGACTGGATATGGTAACTATAATTCTTACTTAATAACTGTGTTGTTACATATGGTTTTACTATGTTAAGGTTAAAACTTTCCTTTTTAATTAGACAGAAAAGAGGGAATGCTGTGGAATAAGCCTTCTGTACACTGTAAATATGTATTGCTCTCCTTGTTAATAAAAGGCTGGTTGGCCAATAGCTGGGCAGGAAGAGACTGGAAAAGACAGCCTGAGACAGAGATAATGATAATGATGGAAGGATGAGGCAGAGATAATGATAATGATGGAAGGACAGAGCCAGAAGAGTCACCAAACAGACACAGAGGGAGCAGGAGATGAACATGCCATGCTAATAAAGGTACCACCATGTAGCAGAGTGTAAATAAAGAATATGGGTTAACTTAAAATGTAAGAGCTAGTTAGTAATAAGCCTGGGCTATTGTCCAAGCATTTGTAATTAATATTAAGTCTCTGGGTAATTATTTGAGAGTGGTTGCAGGACAGGAAAACCCCGCCTACACAGAAATCTGAAAACCATCAAAATTTTCATCAATCAACCCACAGATAAGCACCTCTGGCACATCCTCTAGGTGAACTATTATTTTGGTGAAAAAGCATTAGTTACTGTGTGTGGAACATGGATGAGTTCTGAGAGAATTATCCTAAGACTAGAAAGTATGAAACAGTAAAAACTCATTATTTTTTGTGGAAATTAGAGATCCACACCCAGGCTCATTGGGCTCACAGGTGTCAGAGAGCTGGTTCCTCCAGGAGGCTCTGGAGGTGCCTGGCATTTGTCTCCTGACTGCTTCCTCACATGAGAACCTTTTGCTTCCCAGTTACATCTCCTAATCCTATTAGCTTGCTTCCCCCCCTCTTACAAATACTCTTGTGATGATCATGGAGGAACACCTCTTACTGGCTTGCTCCTCATTGCTTACTCAGTCTGCTTTCTTATACAACACAGGCCCACCAGCCCAGGGACAGCATGTGGGGGTCCCCTTTTAACCACCATGGTCCATTGACCAACAGGCCACGCGGGCAAAGGAGGCAGAAACGTGAGCAACGCTTTGTACCTGCCTGAGAGTATGTCAGAAACAGCGTTCTGGGAGATCGGTCACTGTTTCTGCTCAATTTTATTCCAGAATGAGGGGAGATACAAAAGATGGGAACCGTAGTTGGGGCATCGCCTGATTTGCATTTGGCAGCAGGGTCCTAGCAGCTGGGAGCACAAAACCTAATTATCACATGGGCAGCAGGGGAGGAGGAGAGCATCTGCAGGGATCTGTGTCAAAGGTCAGGCTTGAGGAAGGTCAGGCATCAGGCTTAGGGACAGCTTCTGCATAAGGTCAGGCCTCCAAGCCTAGAGACACTATCCAGGGAGGAAGGCAGTCCTGCAGGAAAGGAAGGGAATCCTCCATTTCTCACCAAGCCCACAGAGCTCTCCAGACACGGTGGACTGCGACCTTAAGGGCAAGGGTACTGAAACAGCAGTGCCTTCCACAGTGGGCCGGCCTGACCACACCCATCACTAATTAAGAAAATGCCCCCCCCCCAGGCTTTCCACAGGCCAGTCTGATAAATGCATTTTCTCAGCTGAGTTTCACCCTATTTCCAAATAATTCTAGCTTATTTTAAATTGGGAAAAAAAAAAAACAACTAATCAGCATAAACATGTTAGTGCACTCACAGGTTCTTGAAATTAGGACCTGACTATCTTTGAAGGATCATTATTTAACCTTGATGTTTTAGGCCCAGAAATATACACAAGGATCCAGCCCTTGGTCTTGCGTATTTATGCGGAAACTAAGCGCACCTTAAAAAGCTGTAGTGTTTGCTGTTTCTCTTAACTGTTCTAATTATGGGTCCTCCAATAATACCCACTGGTTCCCGCCGTTCAAATACTAGTTATTAATATCAACATTGGAAACCACAAAGCTGAGGTTGTGAGTTGGAACAGAAGAGTTTTTATGTGGAAGATGATGTACTTATCCCAGAGTGAAATGAGCGGAGGCAACAAGAATGCCAGTTGCAAGGTCTCTTTTTTTCACCCCTCTTTCTA